AGAGATCCCTGTCTCAGCCAGCCTTGCCAAAATGGTGCAGTCTGCAGGAATCAATCTGAGACGTATTTGTGCAGCTGTCCTTCTGGATATTCGGGTAGAAATTGTGAAACAAGTAAGAACTACACCTGTGGCTGTGGTTAAACCCAATTAACAAGTAACCAATCTATTGAAAAACATTATATATTCTTGCGATGTTCTAGCACAAAAACAGCCATGCGTTTAGTCTAGGACAGGTTCAAGTAAAATAATAATTTAAGGATAGTTGTAAATTGGGAAAATTTTGTAAAATGGTTAAATTGTTACATGAAACGTTCATTATGTTAAACTGTATTTTAGAATGATTCAGCGAAAAATAGAGAAAACCGACACATAACTGTCAAGAAGTTATATATCATTTTCTCACGCGTTCCATAACTCACACATATTAATCCCCAGTGTTATGGGTGTAACTGCATTGTTAGCAAGATATTTCTGTTATGAAATCTAATCATATTTATCCATACTTTACCAAAGTGACCAACCATTGTCTTAGCCTACCCTGTAAAAATGGTGCCTCGTGTGTAAACCTGGCAGCTTCGTTTGTGTGTTCTTGTACTTCCGGTTTCCAAGGACCTAGGTGCAAAGACGGTAAGTCTTCATGCACACACATTGTTGCTTGTGGCATTACAATTTTCACTATACCCGGTTGAACTCATCTGAAAAAAAATATGCGACATTCGATGCCACAGTTAACACAAGTTTTCATAAACGTTATTTGCACTCTGGACCACACCATTTGTTCTCGTTGACTTTCTTTCAAAATCATTAAAAACTCTAATCTTGTAAATGCGTTCAACAGAAAAGGCACATTTATCAAGCAGCACATGAATGATGTAAAAACAGTTTCACAATTACATGTTTAAGGTGAAAAAAACGCTTAACTTAATTGAACTTTAAAATTAAGTCTTTGGTGCATATTTTGTTTCTTTTCAGATATAAATGAATGTTTGAATAACCCGTGTGTCAGTGGCGCCACCTGTCAAAACAGTTATGGCGGATTTCACTGCAGTTGTCCAGGTGGTTTTACAGGAACATACTGCCAGCTAGGTAGGATATCCGTTAAAATTATGCAGAATTTAAATTTTTAACAAAACCACGTAGAATTATCTCCTGTAAGTTAGTTAGAACATACATTACAAGTGTTTTTGTTTTGAATAAACGACCTTTTTAAATGCCATTACAGGATAACAGATTTTGCAAAGTTTTATTTTAAGATACCTGGATGGCGTGTTGCTTCTTTTACGATTGGATAATTCCTGTATCCTGACATTAATTTACCGAATATATTACCACTTTAGAAGTCGGTGAATGATGACTCTGCTCTTTTTTCAGTTGACATCTATTCATGTTTCTTATTTTAGAAATCAGTGAATGTTCCAGTCGTCCTTGTCAGAATGGTGGGACGTGTGTTGACATGGTGAATTCTTATCAATGTTTGTGTTCTGTCGGATACTACGGGATAAACTGTCAAGGTGAGAAAAAATAATAAATATAAGATGACAAATAATATGCAAAAATGTTTCTGATTATGAACTAGAGAATATGTTCTGGTACGTTCTTACAAGAACGAATTATATGTGTCAGACAGAGGCCTGGTGACAAAACAGTAAATTACAGAATAAAGCTGGGGCGTTATTTACAGAGACATAGACATAATCGATTTCATCTCACTGAATATTGCTGAAATCATATCATGTCTTACTGCTGACAATAATACTTAATGTTAACATGGTACAAAAGGTGCCACGTGCAGTAGTTATGGTAACACCTATTCTTGCAGCTGTCATTCTAGATATACCAACAGGGATTGTGAATCAGGTTAAAGCCGTGTCATGAAAAAATGTTGATATAATCAGTTTTGCAAAACTGTAGGTAAAATGAGAATAAGTGTCGAAGTAAATACAATAAAATGTGCGTGAATTCTAAGTGTAAACATTCTGTACAAAATTTGAAACTTTATTTTAATTATTCATTGACAAAATATGACTCTCTCTTTAAATTAAATACACGTCTCTTTTTGCTGATGACTCAAAAATGCATACATTAATTAGCTCTTTGGCTGATTGTTTGGCCCTCCAGGGGGATCTTGAGAAAGTAGTAGAGTGGTGTAACCGGTGGGGAATGAAATTGAATGCTAAAAAATGTATGCTGCTAAGTGTCACGCGGAAGGTAAATCCAACTGTTTTTTATTATAACATCTTATAACATTGTCGTTTTTAGTACTAAGTAGAGTTTTTATTATTTGTATTGGGGGGTGTCCATTCATGGGTCATTGACCCTTTAGGCAAACCCTTTTGGGTACAATATTATTTTGCGTTATTTTAAAGTGATATTGAGGTATTAGTTGTAAGTTGTTTTGCTCTTTGAACATGTTTTCATTGAACATTTCAGATTTGCTGTACCGTCCCCTGTACCGTCTTGTTGGATCAATTACCATTGGAAACTATAGTGGCAGAGTTGAAGTGTATCATAATGGAAGTTGGGGATCAGTTTGCGATGACAGCTGGGATAATACTGATGCTCAAGTATTCTGCAGGTCCTTGGGTCTTCCCTTTTCCAGAGCACTTAGCATACAGAGTGCGTATTTCGGGCAAGGTAATGGAACTATATGGTTGGACGATATTGACTGCACAGGGTGGGAACCCAACATTGCATCATGTACTCACAGAGGTTGGGGGATTCATAACTGTGGTCACGATGAAGATGCTGGAGTTATTTGTTATTGAAGATACATCTTAGGACATGCTGTTGAAAATGTGCCACCTCTTTCAGCATAGTGAACCAATACAGGGAGAGACAAAGGTTTGGCACCATATTGCTATCAAATGAATAGCACTGATTTGTTGATATTCGGTTATGTAAAATGAGTAGCTTTTGTCAGGTTTAAAAATCAGTACATTACTCTTGCATTATTCAGTTGTTTTAAGCCAAGGTTATGGTTAGAATACATGCTTTTAATAAAGTACGGTACGGCACGGTACGGTACGGTACGGCACGGCACGGCACGGCACGGCACGGCACGGTACGGTACAGTACAGTAAAGTATAGTATAGAGTAATAGATTAAACAGACATAACTGTCAGTAGCATTGAAATCTATTCAGTTGTTATAAGTCAAGGTAAGAGTTAGAATACATGCTTTTTGTATAGTATAGTATAGTATAGTATAGTATAGTATAGTATAGTATAGTATAGTGGATTAAACAGACATAACGTCAGTATGTCAGTAGCATTGAAATCTATTCAGTTGTTATAAGTCAGGGTAAGAGTTAGAATACATGCTTTTGGTATAGTATAGTATAGTATAGTATAGTATAGTATAGTATAGTATAGTATAGTATAGTGTAGTATAGTATAGTGTAGTATAGTATAGTATATTAAACAGACATATCCGTCAGCAGCATTGAAATCTATGAAATGGAGTGCTATAAATAACATTTGACATTTAATTATTTTTATTATTATTAATCTTTATGAAGTTTCTTTCTATTTAAATATATTTTCAGTAACTACGATTTTGCTAAAAATATACTTCAGTTTAGGGAATTTGCTGTACAGAAGCCTATTTCGGACAAGGTGGTGGAACCATACGGCTGTCAACTGCACGTGATCAGAACCCAATATTAAGTCTTAAAGGCTCAGAGGGTGGGGACGTGGAAACTGTCATCATCACGGTGAAGATTCTGGTGTTCTTTGTTATTGATGATACGTAATAAAATTAACTGTTTAAAAATATGTTACCTACTTCAGCTGAATAAACCTTCAATGGACGGACAACAAAAGCATTGTTTTATATTGCATTCAGATGAATAACAGTTGGTTTAAATATTTTGTTGAAATTAACTCAAGCAAAGGGTAATTTTACTTCAGGTTTACAGACAATTGCTTTCCTCTAACATAAAGCATGGTATGTTATTGTCGATTTTTTTGTAAGTCTCATTCCTCATTTACAGTTTAGTGACGGGTTCTATTATCTTCACAGATGACTTCTTTAACTCCCCTTCCTAGCCACCCAAACTCCAGCAGGTGCCTGATCGTCTGGTCAGTCATGTGACCAGCCCATCGTTTTTGGGCTCCTTTCGTCTTTAAGGCGTCTCACTCGGGCTCCTCCAAATCCAATCAGTTAGCCTATCATTTCCTAGAATGAGATATGATAAATTAATCCAATTAAAGCTTGTAGACTGATTATTAGTTTTAAAAACAGTTTAAAATAGCATTTAAAAATTTAATGCAAATAATTTTCTATAAGAATTCGTTACATACAAAGTTATCTGGTGTACAATGTAGGTAATTAAACAATGACATATTATTGTATTTTAAGATTTGTAAACTGCATATAACTTTAAATTTAAATGACGATGTGTTATTTATAAAATATAATATGTACTATTATGATATTTATTATAATGTTATTATATTCCACATCCTTTTCTCTTTTAAAATTCAACATAATGAAACCAAAAAGTAACTGTTACTGTAATCTTAATGAATTTATGATACATATTTTTCGCGAGGAGAAATATATAATACCTGGGTGATTGAGAGGAAAATGCTAAAATTTTTGATAATAAATAGGTGCGAAGGCGGACCGTCCCACACAGAAATGAACTATTAAGTCCCGTCACACGGCGTTATATGCATTGCTTTAGTTGTACACCGAGGCGCCTCAACTACCAAAATATTTTGGGATTTTTTTCTTTCTATCAAAGAAAACTAATCTACACCTGGAGAGCTGCTGGTGTACTAGCAGGAACTGCTTTCTACATGTTCGTAGCTCCAATTTTGGAGTACATACCTTTCTAGAAAACAAGCAGTCCCTCTTAGTTGCAAACTTTTTGCAACGTCGTATATTTTTCTCGTCACGTCCTGTGCTCGTTTGTGACCCAGGAAGTAATACTGCTTAGGTTCTGCGTGGGAGCGAACGCGTTGTTATCAACAAACATGCGCAGTGTCACATTAGAGAGAAAGCCGTTTGAAAACACCTCTTTGCAAACGCACTGGTAAGTGCAATAATTATGTTTTCCAGATTTGAAATATTCATTTATATACTTCCATAGATAAGTTATCTTACTTCACAATTGTGCAGCTATTGTGCTCCAAATTTTAAAGTTTTTAAATTTTGACGGGAATATTTAAAATGAATGTTCGTGAGTGTGGATAAAAAGGTTGTTCTTATCACAGTGATTTTAGCGATATAGTCAATTCATTTTTAAACCTTTAAGAAAAAAGAAAATCTTCATCCTGAAATATAACATTAATTGGTTCACAAGTGATGTTTTACTTATTAAAAACTAAAGTTGAGAATCTTTATATCAAATTATTATGATGCGATATCATAGGAAAAGTGAACTTTGTGAATGTATCTACATGTTTTAATGTAGACTCTTAAAGTAAGTGATATGCTTATGGAGAAAATAACTGATAGCATCATGGGAGACTTCTTACCTTTTTACCTAGCAACATCAGACTCTAAACGCTTTTCAAACAGTTTTCACCGGAGTGCAGTGACGCGATTAAATATTTAATACCTTATTCTTTATTTGTTTAATTAAAAAATTCATCAAACTTTGCTCCAAAGACAAATGATTCTGAATTTTATAATTGGTTGAATGAATTCTTATATTAGTAGTTTGATACTTACAACTACCAACGAAGGTATTTAGTCAAGAACGACCTAGAACTCAGGATAAATAATTGAGATAAGAGTTGAAACAACGTGTTTCGCAAACATGTTTTTGCAGCATGCAGTTTTTGGCCTCGTGAAAATGACAAAACCGATAAGAAAGTTTGCTTTCTAGTCTGGTGCAGGGATATTAGACAACGAGTTTACTTACGGGTCAGCAAAATAAAGTATGAAGGAGCGTTAATGATTCTTTTTATGATGTTTTTTAATTCAAAGTTCATAATATTGAGACAGTTTTGAGAAATAACAGATGATTGATTCTTTTACACGTAATCTAACTTTCCACTAGAACAACAGGAATCATATTCACATCAAATTTAGCACCACTGCTTAACAGTAAACTCCGCGCTGATTCATCTGGGTTTTTTTAATCACGCACCCATTTTTTTTACATACAATCTACAACTTGAATCACCAGTAGGCACCAGTGTCGTGAACCTAAAACCAAAACCTTGGTGTCTACGTTACTCTCTGCGTGGATCTAAAGACAAGTATTAAATATCACTCAATCATGTGTTTTTAACAGCAGAAACATCGATGCTATTAGAAACTACCTGGATCAATTCTCTGCGACAAGAGTTATACCTTGTTAGAGATGTTCGTTTTACCCCTGTAAAGTCTACTGAGTATTTTATATGGATTTTAGACAATAAATTATTATTATTATAATTATTAATGGCTCCAAAGAAATAAAGACAATGTTGTTTTCTTGGGCCAATTCTTTTTTTTTTTCAAAAATTCAGAAAACGATTTCACAATAATAATAATGATAGAATTAATGGTAGAGATTCCCAACATGTGGAATAAAGAGCTAACGCAGGGAAACATAAACCTATGAAAAAATGTTTTTAAACCACTTTAGTGATTTAGAAAAAATAATGTGAATTGCGTTGTAGATGTAAAATGCTCATTTAAATTTTTCTTCGTTTAAAAAATGGAGCGATTTTGCCAGATGTGACTCCACATCATTTTATTATTTCAGCACAGCTCTTCAACTTCGAAGAATTTTAACATGGCAGACAGATCAGGTATGCATCCAAGAACGTACGCTTCATATCATGAAGTGGAGTTGATTTAAAAAAAATGAGATTGAAGCTATAAAATTATGTTGATGGAGTATATATGCAAAAATGTGGTGTTGTAAGCAACACATGTTTTATATACTCTTTGAAAATAAATTATTGGCTTCCCACTTTAACAACTTAAATTCAATTTGAAACGGACTTTAAGATGATTGCAGAGCACCACGAAGCATAAAAAATTCTTCACTGTAAAGTGTATGCAGTGCTTTCATGTGGAATAATAAAAACACTCTATGTTCCGTCACAACTAGAGTATTTTCATCAGCTGTGTTATGTTATATGGACGGTCGTATTTTTTCTTCAGTCAACGGCTAATGTTGAAAGTAATGAAGCCATCCCCACTGGCCCATACCTGCCTTTTAGGGCAGTAAGGGGAGGGGGACAGAGGCTATTTCCCTGATGAAGATGTGTTTGATAGACATCGAACTGTTGGAGGAAAACTATTTTAATATTAGCTGATGATGGATGAAAAATCTACTCCTTTAAGAGTTAAAGCGTATGTCACTAGTTCAGTAATGGGATTATGATTAAATCATTTCTAGGAATCGGGTTATTTACCACCCCTCAAAGCCAAAGCGCCGCTTATATTAACGCAACATATGAAACGTCGTCGGAGGTTGATCTTGCTCCAGAGGAGACACCAAGTGTTTACGAGAGTTTAAGAATGCCTCGTCCAACCAACAATGACAATGATCCCAATATCAGGATAACACAGCCACCAAAGACAAAAGTCAATAGACGGTTACAAATAGCATTGGTGTCAGTGGGAATCATATGCGCTGCACTGGTTGCTACTGTTGTATGGTTGCTTGTGCATACCCAAAAGGAAAAAAGTGAGCAACTCACCCATGATTTTTAGGTTTGGTTTCAGCAAACAGTGGGTCAAATAATAATTAAACGAAGGAAGACACTAGGTATTATATTGCACTGGTATCTCTGCATATATATATATATGGTGAAAAAAAACATAAAATTTGTCAATCCACTCAATGTGAAAAAAAAAAAAAAAAAAAAAAAAAAAAAAAAAAAAGGATGACTAAAAATAAGATATCAGCCCGAAACGTAGGCATGAAATCTTATACAGTGTGGCCACATACATGTTTATTTATTCCAGCTACCAATCACTGCATAAGCAACCCTTGCAAAAATGGTGCCAAGTGTGAGAACTCGGTGGCCTCGTTCCGATGTTCTTGCTCTTCCGGTTACCAAGGGACATGGTGTGACAACGGTAGGTACCAAACCATAAGTTTGTGTAATTTGAATGACCTGGTAGACCAATGAAAGTTTTTTCATTACTTTCGGTCCATCACAAGTTAATATAAGACTGATTTAATTAGCTCTCATACACATTAAAGTATTATGTTCGCATTTTGAACGCATCAAGTTTTTTTTTATTATCAAATTACATGTTTTTGTAATGGCTTCTTTCTTTTCTATAACTTTGTAACGCAATCTGTTGGTGCAGAATATAGTGAATATTATGTATTTGCTATAATAACGACTGGGATAAGTACAAAGAACTGCAATAATAAAATCAATGGAAAAAGAAAGGTACAGATATATTTTGTTTCTTTTGTAGACATCAACGAATGCATGAACAACCCATGTGCCAGGGGCGCCACCTGTAGAAATAATCATGGCAGTTTTGACTGCGATTGCCTTCCTGGTTTTACTGGCAAATTATGTCAACTTGGTATGTTACTTTAGCCAGTAAAAGGGTGGTCATTACAAAGAAAACTTAAATACCAAGTGAAAATTTTAATTTTCGAAATCTATTACATTAAATTCTAAAATTAACAGTCAGTACACATTTTCCGTAGTATTTATAAGATGTTTTGCTGAAATAAAATTGGCCTTTTTTATCAGCTAGTATTTTATATTGCTTTATTAATGTACACTTTTTAGAAATCAGTGAATGCTCCAGCCATCCTTGTCAGAATGGTGGGACGTGCGTTGACATGGTGAATTCTTATAGATGCTTGTGTTCTGCCGGGCACTACGGGACAAACTGTCAAGGTAAGACTTGAAATTATACAAGCATGTTTGGATTATGATATATACAATTTTAACATGAAATCTTTATATAGAGAAAATGCATTATATGAATTACCTGTGTAATTAAAGTCAATTAAAAAGAAAAGTAAAGAGAACATTATAACAAAAATAACTATATTTGTTACAGAAGTGGATCATTGTCGCAGCCGACCATGTCAGAATGGCGCCATTTGTAGGAATGCAACTTTTACGTATTATTGCAGCTGTCCTGCCATATACACAGGCAAGAACTGTGAATCAGGTAAAAGGCGTGTCTCTAAAAATAGACAAACATAGAAATGATTTTACATAACTTGCTAGACTGTAGCTGGATAGAGATAAAATTCTGAAGGAATACTGTGTAAAATACCACATCATAAAAATAATATAATTCAGACATATCATGACAGAATATAACTTACACAAAAGAAAGAAAGAAAGAAAGAAAGAAAGAAAGAAAAACGTTAAGTAAATATGAATATATCATAAATGAAATACTCTCTCTTTAAAATGTGTTGTTTGAACATTCCAGCTTTAGTTTCCAATTACCCGTACCGTCTTGTTGGAATAAATATCAATGGTAAATACGGTGGAAGAGTTGAGGTGAATCGTAATGGAGTGTGGGGAACAATTTGCGATGACAACTGGGATAACACAGATGCTCAAGTTTTGTGCAAATCTTTAAATCTTCCATATTCCAAGGCACTTGCTGTAGAAAGTGCTTATTTTGGGCAAGGCAGTGGAGCCATATGGTTGGACGATGTCGGTTGCACAGGCTCTGAATCCAATATTGGATCGTGTAGTCATATCGGTTGGGGGAATCATAACTGTGGGCACGATGAAGACGCTGGTGTTCTTTGTATTTGACAATGCATCTTTGGAACTGTTTTGAAAGGTATTAATCTCTTCAACTCAGTCCAAGTTGTTTTGTGAACCCTATTTATGGGGAGACAAAAGTACCATATTGACAATAAAGTTGCTTTCACAGTTTTTGCAGTGCCAGGTTATCAACTTTCTCCAAGGTTACTCCTCTGACCAGCCACGTGACCAGCCCGTTGTTTTTCATTCCTCCTTTTTATGGCGTCTCACCAGGCTCCTGCAAGTCCATTTCAGCTTGCTGACTGATTATTAGTTTTTAAAACAGTTTCAAATTTGCATTAAATGTTTTTATTGCCCATGTTTTTAACTAATTCGTATTATTATTTAAGTAGTTTTTAGTTATACCCCGTCACACTAAAGGCAGAATGAACAAGAACGCCGTCGGAAAGACAATTCTTTGTGCATACCTGGATATTCAAAGAGCATTCTAAAAATTCTGAGTGCATTTCAAATAGTTTTACCCATTCTTGTGGTCGGCCTGAATGTTGAAAACTTTCGAAGCGCATTCCAAGTGGAAAATTATCGAATGGCATTTGAATAGTATTCTAACAGCACTGTGACTGCATTCTTAATATTCTCACGGCATTCCGACAACATTCAAACATTCTGATCACATTCGAGGGATATTCGAACTGGTACGTGACTTAAGGCCCCCGTCGCACTTATTTGGAACCAGCAGGAATCAAGGTAGAACCAGCCAGAATGAATAAATTGAAAAATTCGTGCCATTATCGGGAGGGAATTTCAAATTGCAGTCAGAATATTCTACCCTAGGTTCTAGATACCGGTATTGCCAGCTCGATCTTGATTTCATATATAACCCATATCAACAATACTGGCTCTAGTGAACAGCGGCTATGTTACACTTCCGTCAATCAAATAGAACTGCTCCGCAGTACGTGAATCTGCAGTTGAATGTCATCAGACCAAAATGAAACTTAAAACAGATTTAATTCTGCTTTATTTAATTTTATTTGATGTATTTAAGATGTAAAGTGAAAAAATAAATAATATCCTTCGAAAAGAAAAGATATATCCAATGTTTTTGTATTTTTGCTTATCAAAGAACATTTAGTCCTGAGATATACACGTGCACAATACACGTGCTCACCGTGTGCCAAATTTGACAGCTACACCGTATGCCCGATACCACTATAAGGGCCGCGCAATGGCTACACCAAAATCAGTATTTAAAGCAGAATGTTGCTTGTATTGTGGCACTGACCTTCGACTGCAAGATATTTTCAATTCAAACTCAGCGTCAGGCACTTTGTTTCTTGTCTCGTCTGCACGAGATAACTTCAGCGCAAGGCGGGAAAACAGCTCCAGGCGGCCAAATCTGTTACGTACGAGACATGACTTCCAAATATGGATACAGGCGGACACAGCTGTGATGTGTGACTTCCAAATATGGAAGCGCCCCAGGCAAAATTTTGAAGAAGAATGCCCTCAGATTGTCGCTGTTCGTCAGAGCTAGTAAAAGCGACCCCATTACAAGGTAATGAAATTCAAATACCGTTAAAGTGTGGTTTGACTGCTGTCCAAATACAGGCAGGAGTATGTAAGAAGATGCCTCGAATAATATATGAAGCGAACTCAAATGCAGTCAACTGCTCCCGGTATGGCCGCCAATGATGGTTTGAAATATAAAAAATTCAAACATAATGCAGCTGAAATACCTAAAATTCTTAATTAAAATTACTTTCTAACATGTTTAGAATGTAGCACGATGCCCAGAGTGTATAAATAACGCCACAGGAATGGTAACTGATCATTATGTTTCGAATGTTGTCGGAATGCCGTGAGAATATTTAGAATGCAGTCATAGTGCAGTTAGAATGCTTTTCAAATGCCATTCGATAAATTTCCTCTTGGAATGCACTTCGAAAGTTTTTGACATGACAAAAACATTCGAGCCGGCCACAAGAATGGGTGAAAATATTTGGAATGCACTCAGAATTTTTAGAATGTTTTTAGAATGCTATCGATTATCCTGGAATGCACAACAAATTGTATTACCGACGCAATTCTTAATCATTCCGCCTCTAGTGTGATGGGGATTTTATACTCCGCCAGATCAATGTTTCGAATCTGCCTCGGATGAGCTGAAATATTGATTTTGCCAGCAATCGAACTACACTAGTGCGCCGTTCAAAGTATATTCTAAATATTCTTACTGCCTTCTTACAGCATTATAAATATTCCTAGTTTTCCAACTACATTCGAACTGCTTTTGAGACCTACACGGTCGAAAATGCACTCATCATTCCAGGCGAATTTAAGCGCATTCTGAGTATTCCAACGGTACTCTTACAATAATTAAGGTCAATTTGAAAATTTTCCCCCGAATGTGGTTCGAATTTTAAAAATTCTTCGTTCGGACTCATTCTTCTACTTTCCTGCTGATTCCGAATAAGTGTGACGGGGGTATTAAGGTTAGAGTAAGAATGCATCTTTTTAGCATAGCATAGGGTTATATTTTAAGTAGTGCACATAACTGTCAATTACATTGAAAACATGGAAAAGAATGCTATTTATTATGTATATCTTTTCAATTTACCTACATCTACATATAATATACTATGGCGAGTGTTCTTTGGATTTCAATAAATTCGTTTTAAATACTTAACCGACGACGTTTAAAATATCAATGAACACAATCACTCATCACCATTTCTTTGATCTATTTCACTAGTTGTGTTATTCTGGTATTATATTGGGCACAGTGTCATCAACACTGTTTTGCTCTATCCTAAGGATAAAACTATCAATTAGATAAAATTGTCATAATGTTTACTTAAATGTTTGGGAAATGAATATTTACTAAACACAACGTACTTGTTTTGGTCTTTGACATATTGCTTTCCAGTGGTTACCCGCACTATGCAGTAGTATCGAAGTAGCAAAAATGCATTAACGCAGTAGTGGTGTGGATCATATTTGCAGTAGAAATGCAGCATAGCCTACTGCAATTCTACTCCAAAAAGTACATAGGTTTGTACAGTATAAAAAGGCTGCTTCCCTCAGGATATCTGTCCAGAGATAACAATTTTAAGGATAAAGTTGTCCATAGGATAGCGCTCTCCAGTGCTGATGAAATTGGGTCTTTGGTCAATAAGTCTCAAAGGAAAACAGCCGCTGTACTCGTTTTCATCCACATTGATGTAGTTGTATGGTTTGGTGGCTCATTTAACACAACCAATTGGCAAATGATTTGACATCCACAAAGAAAACCAAAGAAAACTAGCTGCATAAAGAGAGTTGCTGATTGCTGTACAATCTTATCTTGAGGAATCCGTTCGAGTGTTATTCTTGAGAACATCAATATTTTAGGGATTGTTGGTTGAGACACTGTCTTTATATTAGGGAAATTATCCAAAGGGGATAGGCCTGCAGGGTAAGGGTGGTTCATTTATTATAAAGGTCCCCAAAGTTTCCTCGATGATCTGTCTGAATATAAGGGGTAAGGCAGGGGTTAAAAGACTGAACACTTGATCCAGATATCAATCAATCAATCAATCAATCAATCAGGTTCCGTGCTTGGTTCAAAAGTGGACGAAGATGGAACCCCAATCCCTTCAGCCACGTGGTGTTTCTGCCCAGTTGTTGACTGATGTTCCTGTCCACCCTCTGATGTTGCTTATCCAAGTACAGGGTACGTCTTGGTCGTTTGGGTCTCAGTCTTTCGCTGGTGTCGCCTTGGAAAACAGGTTTTCAATGGAGTCTTAATTGACAGACATGCCGCTGTATGCTACCCTAAATATTAGTACGGTTAATACGCTTCCATGGAAATGGCTAGATCAGTGAATTTTGTTATTCAATGCGATTGCAGTGTATGTTGAGGTTATGTTTTCACCTCGGTTTATCTGTGTGTTGGGGTGAGATCGTTACTTGATCGAATAGATCCAGAAAGACCAGGCATACATTGTGAAGTCGGACAACCTTTACCTTTACATTTATATCCGTGTTGTTTTGTCCCATATTTTTTCATGCCACGTGATGTGATCGCCCGGGAGGACAGTTAGGTGAAACAGATATGTACTTAGTAGAAGTTGACACATTATCAGGTCAAACGTGCTGTTTTTTCCACGAATACACTGGTAAGTGGATTGAGTAGCTTAAGTTTGATGGATATTATTTTAACATTAAAATAGTTAAATGTATAAATAGGCCTACTTGGTACAGAAAATACTATCGTTATGCATACGTCACTTTATACCCTAAAGTGAAACACGAATCTCCCGACACAGGTGTAGATTTATTGAGTGGGTTGAATGTCTATGATCTAAACTTGTCCGTATTTAACTTACTGGAACCAGGGAATATCTGTGTTCTTTGTCATGTTGTTTTACACGCGTCGTTGTCAATAAAGACATAAGCTCACCGGCTGTGATACGAATCTTTGTATCGAATAATAGCGTGTAATATCCACGCCAACCGTATCCTTTGATCGAGACCCCCTCTTTTAAATTAAGGGCAAGGTCTAAGAGCATTTTTATTATTGCAACTTTGCAAAGAAATTGTTTTGTCAAAGAACGACCTCGAGCTCGGGATAAAAGCTTTGTGTTATCAAGAGGCGAATGTATTACACAAAAAGTCCTGTCAAATAAATGCTATTTTGCTACATACAGTACACAATACAACTTCAGCTCTATTGAGCTTTTGAACCGGTTATCATGTACATGTACAAGTGAGATGGCCTATTGCCTGCCACAAACACCTTCCCCACATGCCCTGTTCCTCCCTCCCCTCAAATGTCAGATTTCACTTATGTATTCGTTACTCGTCTTTTCTTTGAATATTTTTATTTATTACTATTATTATTTTTTTGATATTATTATGACTTAATTGATATTTCTAAAGCGTTCGTATAATGCTTTGGCGACTTGCCACCTTTATTTATACTGAAACTAATATTTAACATTTAATGTTAATTAAATTTTTTTAAAAATGTACAAGTAAATATAAATTTAATCAGTAAGAGACAAATAGAGCAGTCAATACACACACCGTTAAAAGCGTATCCTCTAAGTTTTTATCATACTTGGTCACTTTAAGGTCCTTCAATAAAGTATGGGGGTCGATTACAATAACTTTTAATCTGTAATTAATTTCAGGCTAAAATATTTATCTAACACCGGCGAATGTTTGAGTTCATTCGTATTAACTTGCATCTAAAGTGCCTTTACCACACGTACTGGGTATGGTATCTCAGCGGATAATACTGGCCATATAAACTTTATTCATAACGGACACATGCTCTTTTACACTTGCCAAATATTTGCCTTTCCCTTTTCCATGTTGGGTGAAGTGAAAACATAATACGTATTTAAAAAATGTTTTTTTTTTTGTAAATGTGTCACCTCCTTCAGGTGAATAAACCTTATACAGAGGAGTAACAAAAGCATCGCGTCATATTGATTTAAGATGAGTGACCGTTGATTCTTATATATTTTGTCGAAATTCGGTCATGCAAAGAGGGAATTTTTTTCTGTTTTACACACCGGTGCTTTGTCCTAACATAAATCATGTTATATTTCATAATTGATATCTTCATAAATCTTATTTCTCCAGTAGGGTTCAGTGGCGGGTTCTCTCCTCTCTAGATGACTCCTTTAACTTCCCTTCCAAGCTATCCAAGCTCCAGCTGGTGCCTAGTAGTCTCGTAAATCATGTGACCAGTCCGTCGTTTTTTAGCTCTTTCCTTCTTTAGTGCGTGTCACTCGGGCTCTTCGAACTCCATTTTAGTTAGCATTTTATTGCCGGAATGAGATATAAAAAGTTAACCCAAGGCTGAGCATTAGTTTTAAAGACAGTTTTAAATTCGCGTTTACAAGCTTTAATGTTTAATGCTATGAATTTCGTATAATAATTCTAGTAGTTTTGATTTTAATATTAAGCAATCTGGTATAGTTTCTTAAACTATGACATAGTTTTGTATATTGTATATAACTTTTAAGTGAATTGAAATGTATAATGGGGTGTCATTTATAAAATATACCGTTATGTACTATTATTATCCACATTCGTTTCTCGTTTTTAAATTCTCTTATGAAGCAAAAAAGGGAATTGTTACTATTATCTTAATAGATTCATGTTTTATATTTTTCGCGATATGAGATATAGAACACCTGGGTGATGATGTGAGATACCCTGTATATCACACATGGGTGACTAAGTGGAAAATGCTGAAAATTAAGATAATAACGATTTTTAGTGTTAGTTGCGAAGTCGGACCATCCCACACAGAAGTGAACGATTAAGTCCCGTCACACGTCGTCATATGCTGGCTTTAGTTGTACCCCGAGACGCCTCAGCACCTGAATCGAATTTTATGAGCACACAAGTAAAGCTATGAAGTTATTCAGTACATATATTATTTGTGTGTGTGTGTGTGTGTGGGGGGGGGGGGGATAATTTTTTGTCTTTACAAATGAAAAAAGAAAAATATCAGCACCTGACTTCATAGTCAACGTACTGCCCCTACTATATGAATGAAGCTCAAATAAATAAAAATAAGAAACCACTTTTAGACGAAAACGTTTTGCAATGTCCCATATTTTCCCCGTCACGTGTTGTACTTGTAGGTGAACCAGGAAGTAATATTGCTTATAGTTTAAGCGTGAGAGCTAAAGTTTTGTTGTCAACAAACGTGCGTAGTGTCACATTAGTAAAAAGGCTGTTGAGACGCCTGGTAAGTACAATAATTATGTTCTTTTTACAGGTATGGAGTATTTATGCTTATACTTCTATAGATTAATAGCCTCATCTCACAATTCTGCAACTATGGTGCTCCACATTTTAAAGTTAAAGTTAAAGTTAAAATGTTGACGGGAATGAAATGTTCGTGAGTGTCGATAAAATGGTTGTGCTTATGGTTGTGTTATCATAGTGACTTTAGCGATAGAGTCATTTCTTTGTTAAAATCAGAATCAGATAGTCTTCAACCTGAAATATTACGATCTTTTGGTTACAAGTCTTGTTTTACTTATCAAATTTTTAAAGCACATGTATATTTGCATCAAATGATAACAATGTGATATAAATGGTAATATGTGATGACAGTGAAGCTCTATGGTTTTAAGTGCGGGGTAGGCTCTGTTTGTAGTTTTATTATTGTAACTTTCCAGTTGAATATTTAGGCCACACTTTTTTATTTTTATGGATGACATCCTCTGGGGACCCCGAAATCGGTGAGAGAGGGCGAAAAAAAATGCTGCTTAAGTAAAGGAATGCTGTCAGTACACAGCTGGAAACACAAATTTACCACAGAAACACGTATCAAACTAACAATATGTCTTTATCCATGCTCTCAAAATATTAAAGCATTGTGAATACTTCGTAGAAAGATAAAAAAAGTCATGAATAGACGGGCCCGTAGTCAGGGGGTTAGAAAGAACCACCCAATTTGCTGGGAAAAGGTCCACTCTGGGTAAAATTTGATCTAGATACATTAAGTTTTTATGGAAAATGGTCCAGTTTTTTCAAAAAAAGAACCCCCCTTTTGAAATTGCTGGCTACGGGCCTGATAGACATGCTGCATATTATCCAATCTATTTAAGGTTATTTCATGCATTTTGTTGGTATAACAATCAATAAAACAAATATCAAACAAACAGCATGTCTTTATTTGTACTCTCAGAATATTAAAGCATTATGAACACTACACAGAAATGTTAAAAAATGATGCAAATATATGCTTAATACTACCAATTCTATAAAAGGTCATTTCGGTCGATGCCATTTGGTCTACTTCGACTCACATGAAGCAGCCAAACTGTCGGGTGGCCTGACCGACCTACAGCCCACCAAATACCTCGACCCCCTGTCGTCCCTTTTTTTTCGCTACCAAAAAACCTGGTATGTGTTGCTTTGGACAGAATATCACTGAATTTTTCCGGGCGATAATTGCTGGCCGCCGCCAGCCTTTCGCATAATTGTAAAACAGTGGATATCTCCATGCCCAATATCAATGGCATAACAATCCAAAACGACGGCCCCCTTCTCTTTATGACTTTATACATTAAATTGTCCTGTAATTTGAAAGTAATCCTGGAGATGAATTTGATGGCAAAGCGGCCATATTTCCACGTGGCAGTAATACGCATGCGCAGAATGCACATTTTCCGGTAAATTCAATAACGACGTTTGCGACAACCGACTTCGATGGGGGGGGGGGGGGGGTGGGGGGGGTTGGAGAACAGACGGAAATCGGTGCGCGCGCAGGATGTCATCCATAAAAATAAAAAAAAGTGTGGCCTTAGATAAATAATAGTCCGAGATCCCAGAGGGTTGAGTATGCCCGAAAAGATCACAAATTTTATTGTACCTGGCAATGACCTACATGCTTACCTTTATATGAAAATGGGAGTCTGTCGTAATGCCAGTGATGGGTGCGGTCAGGGGGTCCAAAACAAAGGCCCTCAAATCCAGCTAGCAGGACTTTTTAGGGGAACCCTTAGAAACCTATCGGGGTCTTTCAGCATGGTCGCAAGTATATTAAATAGATACTGACAGACAGATTGAGTGGTTGGGTGTGGCTGGCAGACCCTGATTTATAGGGGCTGAAAATCTGGGATCCTGCACTATAACGACTTGAAAATGACTTTAAGAAGAGGTAAAAAATGTTAAATTTAAACAACTATTCTTCAATATCCTTTGGTCTTTGGGGGGAGGGCAAAATTGATTAGAAAGTTTGCATTTAAGTTAAGTTTCATTGCTAATGTAGAGAGGTTGTAGATAACACATTTACCAACATGTCAGTTACAGAAAGCGCGAAGGGTCGCTTATCGTAATATTTCATGCTTTTAATTCAAAGCAACTGTAACTGTGACGAAGTTATTGGCTTGTCTTCTTCATGTTACGCGAGGTAGCAAATACAACTCAGATATTATCTTTCTTATTATTTATTGAACTACTGTCCAGTTATTACCCGCGCCGCTTCCTTCATTTCTATTCCTACCTCATGCAATCTCTAGCGGCCTTCTCTCTGTTTACACTAAGCGCAGTTGTATAAATACCATAAGAGCATGTCAATCAACTTAAGTTACTCTACTAAACACTCCCCGCTCTTATTCACTGCATGCTGTCACTCACTAACATTACATTATCTCCCGGGGACGATATGCCTGTCCCTAGGCATATTTTAAAATTAAAATATACATAAATTAAAAATAAACTTTCTTAAACACTGCATTTGTCTTTTATCATAAATTCATGCAAAACAAAACTAAATACATAGATTTTGTATTATAAACCTACGATAAGATAGAAATACAATTGACATGAAACCCCAAATATAACTTAAAGGAAGATAGATTTATAAATTTGTATGGAAATACAAATGCGCTTATACTCTTCAGTCTCCCCTCCTTGCCAGGGGCGCAACCTAGGCTGAGTACCTTTCCCACTAGCTCACTTACTAGCTCATTCGTTTTCAGTTTGCTAGGGCCTGACTGTACATTGAGCTGAGCGCGGCTGCTATTCTTAAGTCTTACTGCCTTTTGCGACCCAACCGGCCGGTGACCCAGTCGATAGCGATCACTCAATCCCGTAGAGCTTACCAGGCTCCCAGGGAGTAACCGACGGTCTAATCCCGGTCCCACTGCCATGGGTTATCGGAACTTTGACCGTTTTCACCAGCCTTGCCTGTTCACCACCGTGTTGGAACCGCATCAACTACGCATGGCTAGGTGAGGACTGTCGTCCCCGTACCACTCAGTGAACCGTTATACACACTGAGCCGACTAGACGGTACCACAGTATCCTGTTTATTCAGGATTCGAGACGCAGTGGGCCTTCAGTCTTCTCCCACAGCACTATAACACGTCTTTCACCCCATTCTCATAGATTAGATCGACCTACATTGGATCGACCTAACTCCCTGGGGGTTCACGCTAAATAGCTGTCAGCCGGGCGGACACGAAAGTTAATTACCCCTTAAAGCTTGTAGTAGGCGGGGACGGACACTTAAGGGGGATTATCTGACAGTAATCTAGTGAGACTCCCCGCGGTGATAGATCGATCTAAAAGTTGTGAGAACAGAGCCTTTAATGTGCCCCCAGAGCCTTGCGACTCCACTGCCGCCTGTTGACGAGAGAGCTTCGGGGAGCCTATCCCCCTCGCCTCTCGTCGTGTAAACTAGACCAGGGCCGTAGCCTCCGGGGGGACAGGGGGGGCAACTGCCCCCCCTGGGATTTAGAATTTTCCACACTGGTAGGGGGACACCCTCTCCCCCCTCGGGGGCTAAGCCCACTCGTATCCGCTTACAGCCCCCCCTGACATTTTGCTCAGGCTACGGCCCTGTAGACAAAACTTTGTACTCCAACTTGTCTGAAATAACAAGTTGCAAAGAACCTCCTGGGTGGGTGATTTTCTGCCGTCAATTACCACGTTATCTCCTATCTCTAACAACAAGAAGCCATGCGCCTTTGCAACTAAGTAGAAGTTCGTCTAATGTCAAGTATGTGATAATTGACGCAAAATTCTTCTCTTTACGTTGTTGTTTTCAAAACAATTCCTCTTTAAAACAAATGCCTCACAATCTTGATATTTTGAGAATGTCACATTTTTTGTCACCGTTCTGTAAATGTTAAAAGCATTCCAGACCTTTAAATTCGTAGCCACTCTGTTTTAATTTAAAGTAAAGTACAGTTTTGTGCAGAGAAGATGACATTACGGATACGCTTACTTCAAAAACGATTGTCTTACGTACGCCCCTTAAAAGGACAAAAGAATTGTGTGGAAATCCGTAGGCTAAAGGACAATGCCGACTTACGTATATTTTACGGACATCTTACGTACATCTTACACACATGCAGCGATGAGTAAGAAGGGTGGGCTTATGCAAATAGGGTGACGGCGGGGTGTTTCTCGCTTTACGGCAACACAATCATGTGTGAAAAGAGGCGTGATATATGATCCCGCTTAATTGTGGGCTATTACATCGTCCTCTGTTACGCTGCGACGCGACCTTTTGCCCTGGTTAGAATGGGATGTTTAAGAGTAATTCACATTGATTTAATGATTTCTTGTAAATCATACCTTTGTCAACGAGTCGGTGATACGTCACGGTATTGTGGTCTATAATAGTGCAGGTCCAGTTTCCCGCTAACTGTGATGCAACCCAGGCATAACTTTGACTAAGTGAGTCAGTGAGCCGACTTTAAAATGTCCAATAAATAAATAAATAAATAAATAAAATTTAAACCAAAAATAATTTCCCATTTTTCGCCGACGTCCGACTAATCATACTGTTCAATCGGAATAACATAAATGCGAAAACTCGTAATAAGTTTCACGGCACTCTCACGTCACATGACTGCCTACAAATTTAACGAAGGCCATTTGTGTCAAGGTAAACGCTTGGTCCATTTCCTCTAGCTTCCGGTTTTTAAGCCAATCAGTACTTCGTTGATATTTTACACTACGACTACATGTGTCAAATTAATGCAAAATGGCGGGAAAGTGTGCTGGAGTAACCGTCTTGATTTAAGCAGGAATTTGACCACTGTTGTGTGGCTCAGTTTATAGTGAAGGAGGGACCAAAATTATTATGCAAAATGGTCTGTCCGGCCAGTGTAACAGATGTTTCAGGCAATTTTATTGACTGCTTTCTGTCAGAAATGAACATATCAACTGCACAACTTGCGTCACGTGTGGAGTGTTTCAAGAGGGAACCAGCAGCGTAAAGAGCGCAAAGCATGCTTTTTTATTATCATTTTGTAATTTACAAGAATTATTCGTAGAATTGACATTTATTTAGACAAATAAAATATTGAGAAGAAATTGCTGTTTTTGTCCAAAAATTGCTTTTCATTTTCAACCAGGAAGCAAAAGACTTGCTTCACATTCACGACAATTTTTCTTTTTTTTCTCTCTCTCTTTCATTTGAAGGGCTATTTAACCTCAGAAAATGTTGAAATGCATATGAATTGCTTATACATTTACGGGTACACTATGACCACATGTTTATATAACTTGCACATAATTGTTAGTTGGTGGTTATTATCGCTAGGGAATCTCCAAACATGAATCAGTTTTAAATTAACCTGAATTGAAAGTGTTCCTTTCAAGTTAACGCTGTCCCTGGTTTTATATCTTGTTCTGCTTGCTTGACTATCGCCAGAGGCTTAAGGGGTGAATATCACTGTACCACTACCTTTGTTAAACGCACAATTACAGGCCAGTCATTATCGGTGGGGGTGAGGGGGGGGGGTGTAAACGCTACATCTATTGTATTACAATATTTAGAGCCTGTGTCTGCTTTGACAAGAGTCAGTATGGTGTATGTACAATTCTAGATAGTAAAGAGGTGCTAATTAGTAATCCGTTTCTGTGGCACATCCCTCCCTCCTTGATTTTAGTTTGCTTACTAGTCGATACCCTATTTAGCGCAGTCTAATTTTAAGAGTGTTGTAGGGTTTTTTACCCGTAAAAGCAACGTCCAATCCTATGTAATGAACATCACACCAACAACATAACATCTTAACGGAACCTTCTTTCTGTAATGTTTGAGTTAATTGTGTGGAGGGCAGAGTTGATAATAATGATGATAATAATAATTGTAGAAATAAGGCTACATGTACATGTAGTCGCACAAAAGCACATTCCTTAATTCTGTGATCTATTCTAGGGTGTATGTTTTCGTATATTTTCAACTGTACCATTAACTTACCAACTTTGGACAGCTGGCGAGCAGACATCTCCGTGCTTTAGATTTCCTCTTGGGATGATAATTTCACTTTTGTCCGGTGCTGGTTTCGTATCGGCAGTTGCCGCAGGGAGTGTGATTGAAATCAAACTTGGCACATCTTGAAAGTTTAAGTCGGACAAAAGATTTTCAGGTGACACTTAATCAGAGCTGCCACGTAAGCTAACAGGTTAATTACTGCAACGTACAGGTAAATTGAGACTTCCAATAAGATCACCTTCTTCCTATCTCTCCATCAACATATTTCTTGAGACTGCCTTTATTTTCGTTCACTGTTCAACAAGGATAATTACCAAACGAAGAACATTGTATGGAGAAGGGATTTTTATTTATTATTTTATTCATGAAACAATAAGAAATCTGCTCGTTTCAGCAGAAGGATGGGAATATAAAACCATTAAATTAAAATAAAGTTCTTAGAAAATTACAATTTAAAATAAAGTTCTTAGAAAACTGCTTGCTTAAATCATTCCATCAAGATACACGTGAACTAAATCTGGATTGAATAAGTTGTATGAATAATGTCATATAAGAATATTTGCTATATAAATATATGCCAGACATTTCACTTATTGCGATAGATAAAATATTCTGATATAAATTCGAAAAACAAAAAAGCACAGGAGAAACATCCGTCGCCAGTAATAGGTGCTGGTGACAGTCCGTATCGGTAACGTATAATGTGACAGAAGGAGCTAACATGCACCAAACCAAGCAAATTTCAACCAAAAAAATTTTAACATATTTATTGGTAATGATAGCCGGCCAGATTCCATGAAAACATTACATAACCATGCTGTAGTCTTTGATCATTGTGTGGACACATATAAATTATTGTGATGATACAGTTATGTTGCCTGCAAGTTCCTTCAGTTAAGGAAAACCCTTAAAGGGATAATAACTCTTCGTTTCGGCCAAAAAATGAATTTTCCTGGAGTAAACAACAATTTTCCCATACTTACCAATGGCTAATGAATCCATTTTTACATTCAAAGTTAGTCCCTGGTTTTTTTCTAAAAAGTTTGGTTTTTTGTTAAAATCTCTTAAGAGATTTTAACAGAGTATAGTCATCAATGGAGGACACGTGATCTAAAGACAAGCTCAGATATCAGAAAAAATAGCTATAACTGCCGTTTTTGTGGTAAAACAGAATATATTATATTTCTATGAGTTATTCACAATGTTTTTATTGTGAAATATACAGGTAGATCTCATACAAAAAGTTATTATCCCTTTAACTATGTGAATTTTAATGGCTTAATTCAAAAGCAGTTTTTATATGCTCGCTTCCGACCTGTTTTAAAGTTGTGGTTCATTAGTAAGACGTTGGTACCAAAGAAAACAGCTTAATTCAAATGAGGGTCTCCAAACTAATATGTAGAAGCGTTAAATCCAGTTGCCGTTAGGATATTTCCTGTAACGAAATTGTAGTGACGATAAGTGAGCGTTGATATTCGTCAGAAACCAGGTGAGATCGTTGATTAGGGATGGTGGGAATAAGTAATGGAAAAATGGTGCGTGGGTACAGCCATAATTTGACGTACGAGTCAATGGATATTATCGTCGTCATCTTAATCTCCAATTGAATCCTCCGCGCCGCTTCATAATTTAAAGTAAAAGTAAAAAAACCTGTTTGGATAGATTACCCGGTCCCTGTTGTTCTTCGTGATCGAAAAGGTTAGGGCAAAGCCAGGTTAAACTGCAATCAATTATATTATAATATAAAAAAATTTATAATAGTGTGAGCATTTCAATGTAATAATTTGAGCTGAAATTGATGCCTCAAGGAAAAACGTAAAATACGCCGTCTTATTTTGGTTATGGTTCCTTTATTTTCAAAATTCATAATCAACAACACATGGGAATTTTAAAATCTACAACACAATTTACAGCAAAAAACTGTAACTATGTGCGCAGCAAAAACGCACGGTTTTTAGGTTCCTTGCGTTCGTCTAGGACGTAGCTAAATCGCAGGGAGGGAATCAAGTAAAGCCTAGGTCCCAACCGAACGTATGGGCTGCTACGTGTGGTCTACGGCCAAAAATGGGGAAAACGTGGGAGTTCGTGCGTGAGGAGCACGTCCATCGTGCGACTTTTGGAGGACGCAAACAGCACGTAGAAACTTTTCGACATGGTCAACAGCCGCTACGTGCGGTCTAGCTACGTCCTAGTCGGACGCAAGGAACCAAAAAACCGTGCGTCGAAAACGTAGTTGGGACCTAGGCTTTAAATACTATCGGAAGGACGAATACGATGAAAGCGTGTCACATATAGATGAACAATGATTGTGTGCAGTCGGGCAGATAATCGGATAAGCGACTGGGACTTGGGAGGTGACAATTAAAGCTGCCGCTCAGCAGCATCAGTAGAGGGAGAGGTGGCAATTAAGGCTGTCACTCATCACCTCAAACGAGGCCAACTCAAATTACTTCCCGTAACCCAGCTGACTTACTCTAAGCATTGTGGCCTATTGTGTTTACCCTGTAATTATGTGCAATGTGCGATACGTAAGATTAGGGTGGTTTATCCGTATCCGTAATGTCACCTTCTCTGCACAAGACTGTACTTGTCTTAAGATAGTGTCTAACATATGTATTCTGTTCAAACATGCATCATTAAAAAACTGTGCAGGGTCATTATGTTTTTCTAAGTCTTATTCTTCAACGTTTCCCTCATGGTAAGGGCGGCGGTTAATCGCGTCTACATTCGCGAGGTGTTTACCTTTACTCTGCTTAATTGAAATCTGTTAGGGGATAAATTCAATAACCAATAATTCATTACTTCTAGAAATTCGATTACATTCAAATGAGCATGGAATTCTGGCGCTGCCTTACACTTAATCAACGCGAATATCAGTTACTGAAACTATGTACCCTTAATACCTGACCTCTTCTCGCGCAATGAAACTATTCAGATAATGCTAAGTTTGCATTTCTCAGCCTTCGTAAAACTATGTTAACCTCACTAATGCATAATATTTGAAATTGTGGCTGGCTACCATATAGTCATCTAAATATCGCAAAAAGCATTTTCTAAAATAATCGTTAAAAGCAATTGTCTTACCTTCCATTTTATGTTTGTCCAATTCCAATCTCCCATCTAGATACTTTGTGTTCGCCTGCGTATTTTCGTCCGGTGATCGTTCTCTCTCTTTTCGACAAGACTCATGATGTCAAACATCTATGTTTATATTTTGCATCCTCCACCATTTGTGACGAAGTAATTGGCTTGTCTTCTTCATGTTACGCGAGGTAGCAAATACAACTCAGATATTATCTTTCTTATTATTTATTGAACTACTGTCCAGTTATTACCCGCGCTGCTTCCTTCATTTCTATTCCTACCTCATGCAATCTCTAGCGGCCTTCTCTCTGTTTACACTAAGCGCAGTTGTATAAATACCATAAGAGCATGTCAATCAACTTAAGTTACTCTACTAAACATTCCCCGCTCTTATTCACTGCATGCTGTCACTAACTAACATTACATAACAACGACCGCAAAAAGAATAAAGAAAAGACAATTTACATCAGCATTATGCATCCTGCAACCACGGCGCATTTACAATCAACTTTTTTATGTCACTGAAACGTTAACCAATATAGTACAGCGCTGTCATCCTTGTTTACACACTGATCCGGCTGTAATCCGCAGTAATTCGCTTTTAGCGACAAGCGTTTAGCATTGGTGTTTGGTTTGAAATGTTGAACCAAAAAACCTTTAACTACACTCCCCTCACGGCTCCAAAGTTATTACGGCAATGTTGTAATCGTGGTTCATCCTATTTTCAGAAAAATATGAAAGAGAATATGCGTGAACCTATATTATATAATAAATATGTTATTCAAACCGTTAAAATGCATTACTGTCGTAAAATGTGTCGTAGTTGCAAAATGCACATTTACATTTTTCTTCGTTTGCAATATGCGTCAAACTTTGAAAGATGTGGCAATACAACATTTTATTATTCCACAGCTTTTGAAATTCGAAGAAAGTAAACATGGCAGATTCAAGAGGTATGCATCCATGGATTAATCAGTTCTTATGAATAGGGTTCGTTTAATAAACATGTTTTAAGTATAAGCTATTAAAATGAATATGCTTTCCCTGTGTTAAATATAATCTTTGGAAATATATATATTGGTTTCTCACCTTTACTTATTTATTTGTGAGCCTGATATTCAGGCGATCTGAAATTATCACTTTGCATGGAGTTGTCAATTCCATGATGAAATCATGCTATAACTACTTTTAGGTATCAAGTTATTTACTACTCCTCAAGACCAAAGTGCCGCGTATGTAAATGCAACATATGAAACTTCGGCGGGTATGGATCTCGCTCCAGAGGAGACAACAAGTGTTTACGAGAGTTTAAGGATTTCTGGTCCAACTGACAATGCCGATGATCCCAATACAAGCATTACACAGCCACCAAAGACAAAAGTCAATAGACGATTACAAATAGCATTGGTTTTAGTGGGAATCATGTGCGCTGCATTGGTTGCTATTGTTGTATGGTCGCTAGCGTTTACCCAAAAAGAAAATAGTGACAAACTCAACCATGTATTTGAGAGTTTGGTTTCAGCAAACAATGGGTCAAATGGTAATTAAACGAAGGAAGTCATTTGATATAATATTGTATCTCTGCATAAATTTGGTGAAAAGGGGAAAAATGCCAATCCACCCAAAGTGAAAACCCAACTTTAAAAAGATGATTTATAAGCAGATATCAGTCCGAAATGTAGGCATGACGAAATCTAATGGAGTGTGGCCACAGAGATGCCTATTTATTACAGTGACAACGGCTGGAATAAGTAAAAAGAAATGCAATTGGAAAATAGACAGAAAATAAGTTAAAGATACAAATATTTTTCTTTTGCAGACATCAATGAATGCATGAACAACCCGTGTGCCAGGGGCGCCACCTGTAGAAATAATCATGGCGGTTTTGACTGCGATTGCCCTCCTGGTTTTACTGGCAAATTGTGTCAACTTGGTATGCTACTTTAGCTAATACAAATATAGTATACTGATAGATGGAAGGAAAACATACGAAGTGAATTTTTTAATTCTGTAAACTTAACAATGTCAGTACACCGTTTTCTGTGTTATTTATAAGATGTTTTGGTTAAACGATTAAAATTAATTGGCCTTTTTACCAGCTTACATTAATCTTATTCACATTAACGTTTAAGAAATTAGTGAATGCTCCAGTCGTCCTTGTCAGAATGGTGGGACTTGTGTTGACATGGTGAATTCATATCGATGTTTATGTTCTGCTGGATACTACGGGACTAACTGCCAAGGTGAGCATTTAACGTCCTTTCTGTGCCTTTATATCGAATATCAAATTGAACAAACCTTCTGTGTGAGTGTCATTCTAAGCACGCTGTTAAAAACAGTGACAACTCATGTGGAGAAAGAGCGCTCTTCAAATGAACAAAAGGTGAAACAAAAGAAAACAATTAGTAACCTGGTAAACATCAAATGACTTTTGGGTTATTTATAAATTCTTCAATAATTATAAATGTGAAACACAGTTTAATAAAAATCCTTAAGTGGCTTGTCAAATGCCTCAGTTTGATATTTTGTAGGAATTTTAGTCTCAAACATGGATAATGGAATGTGTTTCCTAGTTCTATAACGAAGCTCTTACGTTTCTTTGCTGGGTAAAGCTATGTTTTATATTACAGTAAAGGATCTGTGTCGCAGCCGGCCCTGCCAAAATGGCGCCACGTGCAGGAGTAATGCTATCACCTATTCTTGTAGCTGTCCCCATGGATACACCGGGAGTAATTGTGAAACAAGTAAGAGTTACACCAATAACTTCATCACAAGCACTAGACTTACTAGAGTTTTATGGGTATTCTAAAGTAAAGATCACAATTCTACCTTTTCATTAGAAACAAGCAAAAATCATTTGAAAAAAAATATATTCTAAACGACTGACCCCTTTTATATGTGTGATGAAGAGGTAAGAAAAATACAGTGGAAATGATTAAACACTGGAATGTATTCATAATAATTTTTATTCCAATGTAAAAAATCAACGAAGGTATCAGTTTACTTTGACAAATGGCAGCTAAATTCCATACATTCCAACCATTACATACAAAAAATATGAATGCTTACGATCTCTATGACATAGACCATATTATATCTGTATCGAAATTTAATCACGTTTATATATCCCGCACGAAAACGCAGTAGATGCTCCAGCGCAGCAGACTACTGCAATTATACTGCAAACATGCCTCAAATCTGCTTCGCATTGGGAGCTAATTAGCATATTTGAAACATGCTTCTATCATGCTGCTAATCTACTGCATGAATGCTCCTCCTCTGTACAACCCTATGTAATTTTTGAAGTAGAATTGCAGTAGGGTATACTGCATTTCTACTGCAAATATGCTCCACACCACTACTGCGTCAATGCTTCTTTGCTACTTCGATACTACTGCATATATATTTCCAAAGTGGCCAACCGTTGCTTGAGCCAACCATGCCAAAACGGCGCCTCGTGTGTGGACCTGGTGGGTTCGTTTTGGTGTTCTTGTACTTCTGGTTTCCAAGGCGTAAGGTGTGAAGCCGGTAAGTGCATGTCCAAATCATTTTTCCTCATGACATTTAAAGATAGATTGTATAATTTATTTGGAGGAAAACTCTGTAACGTGGATCCCATGGGTTTCCGTAATCGCAATTTGCACTCCACACCAGAACTTCGTCATCTACTCTTATTGAAATTCTTTCAAAACATGAAAAACCTTTATTTTATCAATGTTGTTAATGAAAAGGAACGCAATTTTGAGTAACATATGACTGATTTAAAAACGGACTAATAATTAACTTAAAATCGAAATGGATTGCAAAATAAAGTCTAAAGGCAAATCTTTTTTTTTTTTTTTTTTGTTTATTGCAGATATTAATGAATGCTTGAATAGCCCATGTGCCAGGGGCGCCACCTGTCGAAATAGTTATGGTGGATTTCACTGCAGTTGTCCACGTGGTTTTACGGGAACATACTGCCAGCTAGGTAGGATATCTTATGATAACAAATGACAAAATTACGATATATGTAAATCAAACCGGAAATCGGCAAAGCTATCACTGACATCTCGTACATTGTTAGAAGACCAATGTAGAATTTGCATAGATTTTATTGCTATTTAGAATAGCAATCTGCGTAACTTTTACATATGCTGGGCCTGCAGGAATCTGTGACATGTGTTTGTATATGAATACTTGATTTCTAGCGTACTTTCATTTACTGGAATAATTTTTATCTTAAGGAATCAATGAATGTTCCAGCCATCCTTGCCGAAATGGTGGGGCGTGTGTTGACATGGTGAATTCTTATCGATGTTTGTGCTCTACCGGGTACTACGGGACAAACTGCCAAGGTGAGGCTTCAAATAGTGTGGCCTATATCCAGTATTCTGCAGGGGGGTTACAAAAATATTGCAGCATCTGTGTGAATAATGCGCTATGTAACATGGGGAAACCGTTCATAAATAGTGATTCGCGGTTTATTGTTCGCGTAACCTGCAACTTGGGCATAATAACGAAGGGACCAGAAACGCGGAGCAAGATCAAATGATAATCGGCTTAGCGCGAGCTCTTTGTGAAACCATGTGCCATCGGAACACGTGACCTCCCGTACAGGTAGCGAGCATATCGCGGTTGTCGATGACATTTTGTGTCATTTGGACAGGTACATGGCGAAAACGTGATGCAGTCCTTTGGGCGAATGAAACAATAAATTTATAGATATTAAGTATAAGTACAATTGTCTTTCAGTTTGGAAGCTTTGTGAGAATTTGATATGAGTTTGTTCAAGGAGGAATTCAGTAGGCCCTAGGTGATAAAGGCAGTATTGTTTGTTGCAGTAAAATGAGCATTCAAAATTGTATAATTGTAGTGTAGCGTACTTGTTTTTAGCTATGATCCGATAGGAAAATATTTCAAGCGTCGAAATTTTCTCTCTGTGAGAAATTAGCCTGAGACGCGGCAATATTGAAACCTTCAATCGTGTCTTGAATTAAAATGAATTAAGATTCCTTTCCGATTTCTTGGGCTCGCTGACATTTCTTTTAGGCTGGCGTTTTTATGCTCCTTTTAATAAAGATGACATCAACACTACTGTGTATTTTATATATAGATTCAAGGTACTTGCTAAAGTCTGCTCGATTTTTGGAATGAAAATTGACAATTTCTTTACTCTCAGTATCGCCTCTCGTTGAAAAATGGCACCACACATGAACCGGCCGATACATTGCTTTAAAACCAGTTATATATCAACTAAACGTAGATCATTACAACCTTGGGAATAATAACAAGTATAAAAGACAAACGGCAGAACCCGTTTGTATAAGGTAAACAGGAAAAAGATACCAAAATAATTTCCACGTGCTGATCGACGCAAGCCTTTGTGCTTGCAACTGCAAGATGGCGGCAATGCTCTTCATATAGCAACCACGAGAGACCGCGAGAAATTGCGTTACCAATGCAAAAGAACAGTCAAATCACTGAGGCACAGCGAGCGCGACCTTGAAATATTCATGTATATAACCTGTTCAGCCTCCCGTGTAGCTTTCAAAACAGCTTATCTGACACAATGGGCGAACGTTTACCCGAACGCACATGTCTTCAAAGGAAGATGACGCCTTTCAAATCCCTTCGTAATTTTGTCCGTTTCTGAGGGGGATGCTATAAAGGTCTCCCAGATAATCACTAAATATGGAGATAACTGGTCAAACTGCATATAGAATTTGCAGAATAGTGGAGAGGACAATGGCGATCTCCATAAGTCACCACGGAGTGGTAACCCGGTGCAAGAGTGACTATAACAGCATGACGTCAACAGGATGGGCTGGCTTGTCCATTACCCATGGAAATTTCTCGAAGGTGATTGGAAATCAAAGCAAAGGATCGTCCATTTACCACAAACGCTCTTATTCGAAATATCTTAAGAGCCTGGGGCAACGTAGCCCCTAGACGTTTACTGAACCGTTGTCAGTATATGTCTAGTAGCATGGTGGTCATATTAAAGCAATAATAACTCTTCCTTTGAGATTCAAACTTCCGCATGAAATACATTTTAAACAACGCATGGAAATATATTCTATTGTATTTTACCACTAAAACGGCCGTTATTGTAGTAAAACTAAAATCTGTGCTTGTCAATAGGGCTTTCGATGCTTTTCTTCCCGGTCATGAAGGCATTCGTTGCTAATGACGTAATGGTGTCACGCGGATTCTCGCGTTCATTCGAGACCAAAATAACATATGGCACCAAACGCATTAATGCAGACGCAGACGTAAGTTGCGAGTTTTTGTACAGTGCGTCGGATAACGAAAAGCCCAGAATGGCACATATTGTTGATATTAATGTATTTTTAACAAAAAGACGAATATATCTCATGAATCTTATATAGTGTTGTTGTTGTCTGCTTTTCCCGCGGTTTTAAGTAGGTCAACAGTGACTATGCGATGTCAGAGAGAGCTCCGTACGTTTAGGAAAAAAACCCTGGATTAACTTTGAATGCATGAATGGGGTCGTTGACCATTGGTAAGTATGGGAAAATTGCCGTTTTTTCCGGGAAAATCCAATTTTTGGCCAAAACGAAGAGTTATTATGACTTTAATATCACGTGGCTATCCTACAAAATATTAACACTGACGTAATAACATGCTTTATGTAAGAGCTAAACATTGGTCTGTGAACCCGTAGTGCTGACATTTATTTGACACGATGAATTTTCAATAAATAAATAAATTGATATATCTATCAAAACCAGCTGATGTTTACCTTCAAGCAAATCGGAGCAATACTTTCGCCACTCCTCTTGTACATGTATACTATCACGTATAAGATTTTTAACTGTATGTAATTTTGAAAGTTATTCTAGTGTAGCATGTGTTCATTTGTCGACGTAGACTCTGCATAGGGTAAAAGACGAAGAGTTAATATATATTTTGACTATCGCATTAATGAAATTGGTGTATTTGCGTTGGCATTCAGTGTTTAACATATTCGGCACATCGTCATTTTTTGTTGCAGTTAGAGACCAATGTCGCAGCCAGCCCTGCCAAAATGGCGCCACGTGCATCAGTCAAACTTCCACCTATTCCTGCAGCTGTCGTTCTGGATATACCGGGAGGAATTGTGAATCAGGTTCAGGACTTCAAATAATAACGTATTGATTCCATACATTGCACCAGACTGTGGGTAAAAAAGACATAGTATTGACGTAGAAAGAATTAAAGATTTAAATAATTAAAATTATGAAGGAATTATAAATGTGTATATGCTGTACAAAATTTGACAACTGTATTTTAATGATACCATGACAGAATCTCTCTCTCTCTCTCTTTTGCTCCCTATCTCTGCTTTTGGTTGGGTCATATGTTTTAACATATTTTTGACATTTTAGCTCTGGTGAACACATTCCCATACCGTCTTGTCGGTGCAAAATTCAATGGAAAATATGGTGGCAGAGTTGAAGTGTATCATAATGGAGTCTGGGGAACAGTTTGCGATGACGGCTGGGATAACACTGATGCCAAAGTTTTCTGCAAGTCCTTAGGTCTTTCCTATTCCAGAGCACTTGGCCTACAAAGTGCGTATTTCGGGCAAGGAAGAGGACCTATATGGCTGGACGATGTCGGTTGCACAGGATCAGAATCCAACATTGCATCATGTACTCACAGAGGTTGGGGGACTCATAACTGTGGACACACTGAAGACGCTAGTGTTCTTTGTTATTGATGATGCGAATCTTGGAAATAACTTTTTTTAAATTATGTTAACTCCTTCAGCTAAATGATCCTAATGTAGGGGGAGACAAAATGACACCATGTTCCTGTCAGATGAATAACGATTGATATTTTTAAAATTTTGTTTTTTATTTAAGTAGCAGTCTCTGTAAGGTTCAGAATAGGGTGGCACATGACCCTCTCAGATTTTGATGAAAATTGGTGTATTTATTCATTATAGCCCCAAACCAACATAATGGATATTGGTTTGTTTGAATCACCCTCGGTTGCCATGGTAACAGCACTTAAAAATTTTCACCCAAGATGGCGGAATCCAGATTGCAAAATTTCAATTTCAGCTATATTTGAGCTAAAAAACCATAAATGTGGATAAATAAACATTTTTCATTTTCAGACATTGTTAAATATCATATCCTNCCGCTACTGCGCATGCGCAGATGGTCTTTTTCGCGTAGTTTTAGCGTTGATTGTTTTTAATGTAATTTAACCATTTTGTGTTTTGAAAAAAATTTTATTTCATTTTTTGGTACCTGAATATATGCTGTAAACATCTTGTATAGCCATCTTACATAACTACGTCGGCCATACGAGTTATTTGTCAGTGAATATGGGGTTACCTGAACATTTTATATAGAAAAGCATATGGGAGAAATATTTCAGGCTTAAATATAAAACGCTCTAAAAAATAAATTATTTTAAATATGCAACTTTTCGGGCTCAATTTCTTAGTTTTTAGCATAGTTCTTCACAATAAATTAAAAGAAAACAAAATCTGGGAGGGTCATGTTCCAATGCCCCTATGTTATTTTTCTGATTCTTACAGAGACTGGTACTTAAAACTTGGTCATGTCAAACGAATAACTTTACTAAAGGTGTGAAGACCAGATTAACCTTTACATATATTAGGTAAGGATTTTATGTATCACGCGTTGGGGCAAAGCTATCGTAACTGGGACATTATTTAGAATTCCAATGTGTTTACACTAGTGAAAGAATTCATGTTTTCCTTCATCTAGTGATGTGATTTCACATAAAAGTACATATAAATCTAAAAATGAACTTACAAACCATCAATCATCAACAGGTACACGAGTGGCATAGACCCAAAAGGCTGTCCAAAGAATGGAACCATATTGCCTTCAGATTAAGTTTCAATCCTACTTTAGTGTTGAGTGAGATGTTATCTACTCTATTCCTGAGGACTGCTTCAACTCCTCTTCAACTTCTTGATTGATTATTCGTTTTTAAGACAATTTTCAAATTGCACTATTTAAACAATTATATGGTTAATCTTTTAAATATCGTATTAGTATATTTTGATAGTTTTTAGCATAGGATTAAACAATGCACATAACTGTTAATTACATTCAAATAGACGAAATGGTGTGCTTTTATTAATATATGATATCTATTTATCTTATTTTCCTTCACTTAATTCCATTACTCTCTCGAAAAAATGACCATATGATACAAGTTCAAAAATGATTTAAATGTGAATAGCAATTTATTTTTATTTAAATGTAATTTCAGTTACTAAGATTTTGCTTAGAATGTACCTTTGTTGTGAAGATAAATTGTTTAAAAATCAGAAAAACTCAATTTTCCTACATTAATATATAGTAAAAACTACTATGGCGAGCAAATGTCGACAATATCAAATTGGTTTAAAAATAGTAAACCGACTTTGATGTTTTATTATGACAGACTGAAGTGTGGCATTAAAATGTTTTTAAGGTTCTTAAACTCAATAACCATCAAGGTGACGATTATTAGAGCGTACTTTAATATATTTGACGCAAGTAACATATACTAGCACGCAATGAAAACGCACCACCCGTAAAACATGAATATATTATCCTGCTTAGTTTAGTTTCTGAATGTTGTTATATAATCAAACTTATGGCTTACATATGCACACACTGATAGTGTTTACTGTTTGTTATGCAACGACAGAATGAGGCCCGTGAAATTGCCCAATTTTTGTATTCTCCGTGTTGCTTACATGTGTATTGGTTTGCTTTAGCCATAGGAAGATCTACTGTCTATACATCAATGAAAGTATGCGGTAATTGAATACCAACGTCACAGTTATGGGACGTTTGAATGACGCACAATGACATGAAGCTTTTGGTATGGGTGCCGGGGGTCTGTTGTGAAATAACGCGTAGAATGAACTGTGCGCACTCCACTATACTCCGTTTAGTCCAACGACACAATGAAACAGGCTCTGTGAGCGACCGACCTCGTCCTGGACTTCAGAGGGTATACGACGGCAGCAGAAGATAGACAAATTGTGTTTCAGCCGTCAGGATCTGATTGACGCACTTGTGGATGAGTGGAATGCTATTCCACAATATCGAATACAGCGACTGATCCGCAGTATGCGCCGCCGTTGTCAGGCTGTGATAGATGCAATGGATGTGCATACCAGATACTGAGGTTTGTAATTTTTGGATTTCTACCAGCCTTGTTTAAGGCGTTACCTTGCAGAGCTTACGATGAAAATTGTTAGTGCTGCTGTGCCAATGTGTGCTAAAATGCCTAATCATTGTCCTGTTATAATGAGATTTCAAAACCCCTTTCAGATAAATAAATTAGCTTACTTTTTATGGATGGTGCGTTTTCATTGCGTGCGAGTATAATTGAGACGATGAAGGTGTAAAAGGTGGATAGTTTAGCCTCACGTTATTTTCATCTTAATCTAATATTCACCCACAAGCAATCGACCATCACCCTTTCTATTTCACATTATTTATTAATTTATTTCAATTCCTTAGAATTTTCATAATAAGCCAGAATGAAAAATGGCTATCGGAGCTTAATTGCACTCTACGTTACTCGGATTGCTATAGATGTATATAAAGGCGGATCAACTAACACAAACGCTTGGCAAATAAATTTAAGATACATATAAAACAAAGACTCAACGCATATAAAACAAAGACGTAACACTTCCACTTCTTGTTGGTATACATGTCAATGGAGGATACAGAGGTAGAGTTGAACTGAAGCCTCGGGAACCATATGTGACGACGAATGAGATATCACCGATGGTCAAGTTTTCTGCAAGTTCCTAAGTCTTCCTTATTCCAACGCACTTGCTATACAAAAGTCTATTTCGGCCAGGGTAGTGGAACTATTTGGTAGGACGATGTCAACGACACAGGATCAGAACCCAATATTAGGTCGTGTACCCTTATTTGTCGGCCCATACTGTTTACAAGCAAACCATTAATATTCCGGAACATAAGAGGCTAACTGCCACACGTCTGCACATTTGTCACACAACCTGGCTATGTAGACTGTGAGAGGAGAGAGGAGAGACTGTGCTTTTTTGAGATAACATATATGTAACCTTCAGCTGAATAAATCTTATACGGAAGAATAACAAAAGCATCGTTTCATAGTTGTACACCGAGGCGCCTCAACTACCGAAATCTATTAGGGATTTTTTATCTCCACCAGAGAGGCTACGTCGTGAAAAATGTGACCGCCATCCGTGAAGCTGCTGGTGTACTATTTTTCTTGGAACTGATTTCTACATGTATGTAACTCCGATTTTGGAGTAAATCACTTTCTAGAAAAATAAGCAACCGATCTTTGTTGCAAACTTTTTGCAACTTCGTACATTTTTCTAGTCACATCCTGTGCTCGTTTGTTAACCAGGAAGTAATGCTGTTTAGTTTTAGCGTGGGAGCGAACGCGTTGTTATCAACAAACGTGCTCAGTGTCACATTAGAAAGAATTATGATGCGATATCAAGGGGAAAGTGCACCTTGTGAATGTATCTATATGGTTTAAAGTAGACTTTTAAAGCAAATGATATGCCTATGGAGAAAAGAACTGATAGCATCATGGGAGACTCTTCTCACCCAGCATCACCACTTCTTACCTTTTTACCTAGCAACATCAGACTCTTAACCGTCAAAATAAGTTTAAGCTTTTTAAACAGTTTTAAACGGAGTGCAGTGACTCAATTGAAATTTTTATGCCTAATTCTTTATTTGTTTATTGTGTACATTAATCAAACCTTGCTCTAAAGGAAAACGATTTTTATAATTGGTTGAATAAATTCTTATATTGCTAGTTTGATACTTACAACTTCCCAACGAAGGTATTTAGTCGAGAACGACCTAGAACTCATGATAAATAATTGAGATAAAAGTTGAAATAACGTGTTGTACAAACAGCATATTTTTACAGCATACAATTTTTGACCTCGTGAAAATGACGAAAATGACGAAAATAAGAAAGTTTGCTTTCTAGTCTGGTCCCTTTGCTAATGTGCAGGGGTATTAGACAACACGTTCACATACGGGTCAGCAATATAAAGTACAGGTGAGCGCTTATGGTTATTTTTATGCTGTTTTTTTATTCAAAGTTCATAATTTTGAGACAGTTTTGAGAAATAACAGGTGATTGATTTTTTACATATCATCTATCTTTCTACTTCAACAATAGAAATCAAATTCACATCAAATTCGGCACCGCTGCTTAATAGTAAATTCACACCATTTTTTCTGGGGCAGCGCTATCACCCTCGTCTACCGTTCTAGTCAAGCTACAAACAGCTTTGTTTTGCTTATAACGCTGTGTGTTTAGCATCGGTGTTTGATTTGAAGCATTTTATTCCCGGTCCAAGACAAAAATATTATCATATTTGATCACCTGCCGGATGCGCTGAAATCTGGCATTGTTTGACATTTCCAAAAAAAAAAAAAAAAAAAATCCTTACATCATGCTAAATTACAGAACTATATCAAACCTTTCATTTCTTTCAAAGATAATTGAAAAAGTAATTGCTGTTAGACTGTTCGACCACTTAAACACCAACAACTTTGTTGAGGAAATGCAATCTGCTTGATTTTTCTTAACATATATTGGGGTGCCCCGTGGCAGTGTCCTTGGGCCACAGCTATCAGTTGGTATCAGTTAAAAAACATGACTGTCAACAAGTTAGTCATAACCTACCTTTGGTGACAAAACGGCAACCTACCAAAAAAACGGCACGTAATTGAACATAAATGACCAAGGCGTTTTATGCACTGTATGATCCAGATCATCTCATGATTGAACAGATCCATATAGATCAGACATAAACTGTAAAGTCTGGCGATTTATCAGAGCAGCCATACAATGCAAACTACCTTTTCTTTTAACCTTTACGTCTTTTTTTTTTTTTTTTTTGACACAATAGGTTTAAATATATCAGGTGGCAATTAACAGACAACATAAAGTTGTCACCGCAAATAGGTCAGCAGCTATCTATACTGTATGTAAATGGCTTTAAGCATTAACGTAAATCTACAATAATTACATTTGAAGTTTTTTTGATACACTGAAATTGTGAGCATAATTCGAGACATAACTTTCTCAATATATCAGTCCTCAGAAATCTACATTTACGGACTGAATTATTTTTAAAAGTACAGTTAAAAACATAACTTCCAGCACATTTCCCCCAATTTATGATAACAGTGCCAGGTGTAAATTTATATGTACATAAAACTATCAACACAAACAGGGAAAAGGGCAACATAACATTGCGTTTCTTCGTTCATACCTCACTGGGAGGTCACAGCAAATTTCGGTAAATGACATACTTTCTGATCTTTCACAACTTGTTTTAGGGGCCCTACAAAGTAGTGTTCTTGGGCCACTTTTGTTTTGCATTTATATCATTCCACGTGATGCCATTTTACGTCATAAAATACTAACGCAGGGAAACGTAAACATGTGATAAAATGCTTTTCAAACCGCTTTAGTGATTTTAATAAAGACAATGTGAATTGTGTCGTAGATGCAAAAATGTTCATTTTGATTTTTTTCTGTTTCAAAAATGCGGTAATTTTGCCAGCTGTGACTCTACAGCATTTTATTATTTCAGCGCAGCTCTTCAACTTCGAAGAAATTTCACATGGCAGACAGAAAAGGTATGCATCCAGGAACTTACGCTTCATATAATGAATATGAGTAAATTGGAGTTGATTCTATAAAAATGTTTGTCATTTAAGCTATAAAAATAACTATGTTGAAGGAGTATAACTGAAAAAAGTTGTCTTGTGAGATATATTTATTTAATATACTCTTCGAAGATAAATATATTAGCTTCCCACTTTAATCAATTTAATTAATTTTGAATATGACGTCCAAGTCGTCGCACAGTGCCAATAAGCATGGATTATTTTTCTTCGTTGTAAAGTGCATGCGTTACTTACATGTGGAATAATGAAAACAGGCTATGTTACGTCAGAGCTAGAATAATTTATTCAGCTGTGTTATGTTATAGGGAAATGGTCTCTCACAAACGCCTCCCACGCTTCGTCCCTGCAGGGGCACAGTAATTAAATCTAGGCTCAATGCAACCGGTCAAGGGTCGACGCGTGGGGAACCGTGCGAAAGGAGGAGAGACCATTACATGATTAAGCGGTCTTCCTTTCATGTAGGTCCGCCATATTTAGGTCGTGGCCTAGCCTGCATTCGGCTCTTCTCATTCTGAGTGACCTCTTAACTTTGAGGTCTATAACTTTGCACTATACAAAGAACTGTAACATAAAATGTGACAGAATATTTGATAATTTTAAGATACAGACACATACTTGTTCATTTTCAGATATGAATGGATGCATGAACAACCCATGTGCCAGGGGCGCCACCTGTCGAAAGACCCATGATGGTTTTAACTGCAGTTGTCCTCCTGGTTTTACCGGCAAATTGTGTCAACTTGGTAATATACTTTAATTAAGAAAAAAAAACTGAATACTGATAAATGAAAAAAATACTTAAAAGTTGATAGTTTGCAGAATTATAGTCTCAAACACACAAAATTGTTGCATTACCTAGTTCTATAACTACGTGCTACGATATGTTTTATATTACAGAGAAAGATCTTTGTAGCAGCCGTCCTTGCCAAAATGGCGCCAAGTGCAATACTCATGCTAGCACCTATTCTTGTAGCTGTCCTCATGGATACACCGGAAGTAATTGTGAAACAAGTAAGAGTTACACCAATAGCTTCATCAAAAGCACTAAAATTGTTCGAATTTTACGGGTATTCTAAAAGTAAAGATCACAATTAAAGATCAAAATTAAAGATCACAATTCTGCCTTTTCAGTAGATAATAATCATTTGTAAAAAAAAAACGTGTTCTAAATGGGTTACCCCTTTTATATCTGTGTGATGAGGAGGTGGGAAAGTGGAAAAACAGTGGAATCTTTTTATATATATTTTTTTCCAATGATTTAAAAATCAACGAAGGTATTGCTTTACTTTCACATAGCAAATAGGAGCTAAATTTCATAAATTCCAAACAATATACACACAGAAAATTAAAATTTATTATCTCTCAGATATATTCCATAACATTTATGTAATAGAATCTAATCAGGTTTTTATTTTTTCCAAAGTGACCAAACATTGCCTGAGTCATCCATGCAAAAATGGCGCCTTGTGTGTAGACCTGGTGGGTTCGTTTCGGTGTTCTTGTACTTCTGGATTCCACGGCGCAAGGTGTGAAGTCGGTAAGTGCTTATACAAATCGGTTTTTCTTATGACATCACGATTCACAGATTGAACTAATTTGGATGAAAACTTACGATAGACATCTATTCTATATTCGTAATTTGTACGCTTTACCTCAAGCAAGTCATCTGCTTTCGTTGTCTTTCTTTCAAAAACATTAAAAACCTCTTTCCTATGAATCCCATTGACGGAAAGGTACAAAATGTCAAGAAACATACGTTTCATAACTAAGGCGAAGCAATTTCATTGAAATGAACTGCAAAATAAAGTCTTAGGTGCAAATCCATTTCGTTTCATTCCAGATATAAATAAATGCTTAAATAGCCCATGTGCTAGTGGTGCTGCCTGTAGAAACAGCTATGGCGGTTTTCACTGCAGTTGCCAACGTGGTTTTACTGGAACATACTGCCAACTCGGTAGGATATTCAATAGCAATTATGCAAGATTAAAACAAAATCGGATTTTAGTAAAACAAAATCGGATTTAAGTTAAGACATGCATATTCATTTTTATAAGACCCATACAGATGGCGCATAGCGTTTTGGTATAAACGACATTTTAAATGCACCAACCTGTGTTATGTGGATAGTGAGTGCGTTTTTTTTTTCTTTTCCATAAAAAAAATTCTGGTATTTTTTTCATTTGACCAAATATCGTGCAATTTTAGAAATCGGTGAATGTTCCAGTCGTCCTTGTCAGAATGGTGTGACGTGTGTTGACATGGTTAATTCTTATCGATGTTTGTGTTCTACCGGATATACTACGGGACTAACCGCCAAGGTGAGACTTGAAATTAAATATACAAGCATGTTTGGATTATAATAGATAGGATTTGTACGATGAAAGCCATATATGAAGATAATGCATTTTATGAATTGCATACGTGATAAAGGACAATGAAAGTAACAAGAACATGATAACAAAAATTACCTTATTTGTTACAGAAGTAGATCATTGTCGCAGCCGACCATGTCAGAATGGCGCCATTTGTAGGAATGCAACTTTCACGTATTCCTGCAGCTGTCCTTCCAGATATACAGGCAAGAATTGTGAATCAGGTAAACGAAAAACAACATACATGAAATATAATTTGATATAACTCGCTAGATTGTGTCTGGAAAGAGATGTTATTCAAACGCAAATGGAATTGAATAAAAATTTGCTTTATTAAATACAGAATGATAGGACAATATTATTTAGTCATGATATGGCAGAATATAGCTCACAAAAAAGATAAAGCGAAGATAAATGGATCATAAATGAAACACTCTCTCTTTAAAAATGTTTTGTTTGAACATTCCAGCTTTTGTGTCCAGTCACCCGTACCGTCTTATTGGAATAAATATCAATGACAAATACGGTGGTAGGGTAGAAGTGTACCATAATGGAGACTGGGGAACAGTTTGCGATGACAGCTGGGATAACACTGATGCCAGAATTTTCTGCAAGTCCTTAAATCTTCCATATTCCAACGCACTTGCTGTAGAACGTGCATATTTTGGGCAAGGTAAAGGAACCATTTGGTTGGACAATGTCGGTTGCATAGGCTCAAAATCCAATTTTGGGTCATGTCGTCACAACGGTTGGGCTGTTGAAGACTGTAGTCACGGTGAAGACGCTGGCGTTCTTTGTTTTTGACTATGCATCTTAAAACGGTCTATTTAGAAAAGCGTCAATTCCCCCATCCTAGTCAGTGGCTTAGTGAACCTTATACGGGGGGAGAGAAAAGTAACATATCCGCACTCTGTTTTTTTTCACAATTTTCACAATTTTTTTTTAATTTTGTTATTTGTTGATATTTTGTTCATGCAAGAAAAAAAAAAAGAAAATCACCGCAGATTTACTAACCAGTGCTTTACCCTTACATAAATTATGTCATGTCAGAATTGATACGTTGTGGGACAGCCACGTGCCCTCAAAATCCTTCTGGACATTGACTCATGTAGGTGTACAATTGTAGTTTATAAGCTATATTGGTATAATGCCCAGTAGGCTGTATTGGTCCAGCCTTGAAAGACACATTGGATTAGACAGTGAATGTTCTGATTCATCCAGTATCGTGATTTCACATAATGGGAGAAAAAGATAAGTGTTGTAAATACAAAGCAATAACAGAACGGTCTTGATCTTCACCAAGGAAATTAATGTCAGTGACCCACTCAGCCGGTCAAGTGGAGCATTGGTCAAGTGTGATGGGTTCTTTAATCACTTCCAAGTAACATCGGTACCTCCTCTGACCAGCCACGTGACCAGCCCGTTGTTTTATGTTTAATTCTTCCTTTTAACGGCGACTCACCGGGGCTCTTCTAAGTCCATTTTAGTAAGTCTGAAATTGCCTGTATACAATCGAAGCTTGATAAATGATTATTAGTTTTTAAGACTGTTTAAAATAGCATCAAATATTTTATGGTCAATGTTATCAACTTTGCATTATTATTGAAGTAGCGTTTTAGTTTAGAGTAAGAGTAGAATGCATCTTTTAGCGTAGCTTAGGATTATACCTCGTATGTACATTTCAGCAGTGCGTGACATAACTGCCAATTGCATCGAAAAACCTGTAATGGAAAGCTAGTTATTATGTATATCTTTTTGGGAAATTACCTTATGATACAAATTCAAGAATACGTAGAATGTGAAAATCAACATATTGTTTATCAAAATGTATTTTCAACAACTATATTTGAAGACTTTGTTTAAAATCTACCTACAATTATATGGTACAGGGGAAATGGTTGAAAATTTCGTAAAATTTAATTTACCTACGTCTACATACATTCTACTATATTGAGTGTTTTTTTTAGATTTCAATAAATTCGTTTTTTAAAAATGCTAAACCGAAGTTGATGTTGTTTTTATTATGTCGGACTGAGGTATGGTTTTTGACTCATCAACCAAGGTGAGAAGCGACCCTGTATCGGTAGGCTGACGTATAACCAGTGAGACCATGAAATAGCAATAAGGCCACACTTTTTTATTTTTATGGATGACATCCTCTGGGGACCCCAAAATCGGCGAGAGCGGGCGAAAAAAAATGCTTAAGAAAAGTTATGTTTTCAGTACACAGCTGGAAACACTAATTTACCACAGAAACACGTATCAAACTAACAATATCCATACAACATATCCATGCTCTCAAAATATTAAAGCATTGTGAATAGGGCCTACTTCGTAGAAAGGTAAAAAGTCATGAATATATATGCATATTACCAAATCTATTTAAGGTTATTTCATGCATTCTGTTGGTATAGCAATCAATAAAACAAATATCAAATAAACAGCGTGTCTTTATGTGTACTCTCAGAAAATTAAAGCATTGTAAACACTTCACAGAATTGTTAAAAAAAATAAAGCAAAGATAGGCCTATGCTTCCTACTACCAAATCTAAAAAAGGTAATTTCGGTCGATGCCATTTTGTCTACTTCGACTCACACGTAGCAGCCAACTATCTGGTGGCCTGTCCGACCTTCAGTCCACTAAATACCACGACGCTCTTGTTGACCCTTTTTTCGTTACAAAAAATGATGCGATGATCGCTGGCCGCGGCCAGCCTTTCGTATAATTGTTAAAGGGTGACATCCCCATGTCCAATATCAATGGCAAACCAATCCAAAACGACGGCCCCCATTCTCTTTATGACTTTAATTGTCGTGTATTTTGAAATTAATGCTAGAGATGAATTTGACGGCAAAGCGGCCATATTTCCACGTGGTGATAATACGCATGCGCAGAAAGCTCATTTTCCGCACTCGGAACTACTCGGATGTCTCCGCAGTCGACAATGACAGTTTGGAGCTTGCGGAATTAGCCGAGGATTGCCGATTGCATTTTCCGGCAAATTCAATAACGACGTTTGCGACAACCGACTTCCTTGGGGGTGGGATTTTTTTTTCTTTTTTTTTTTTTTTTTTGAGAACGGACGAAAAACGGTGCGCGCGCAGGATGTCATCCATAAAAATAAAAAGTGTGGCCTTTAAAGTGGATAATTTAGGTACACGGTATCTTTATGTCATTTTGGAATTGCGTGTTTTGCTGTGCAATGTTATCTCGAAGGAAGCATCTTCAAGGGTACTCCAAGTGTTTATTATCATCCAGATACCAAAATAAAGATTTTGCTTCATCTAAATATTCATCAATGCACCTACCTCTGTGAATTAAAACAAGAAAAATCCCCCTGGGATATATCAGATTTTATATTTCTCGTTGCCGTGTATATGCGCGAGTCAATCAAAACTTTTATCATCAATTTAACAATTTCTAGTTCTATCTATATTCTATTTTTAATCGGTATGGTGCAAAACTGCATCCCTGAACAAGATTTAATCGCGAAAACTGGCATACTTAATTACTAGCATACTTAATTACTGGGCTGCACTCCTGTGCCGTTATCTAAGTGGGACGCCCTATCGATGTTTGTGTTCTGTCAGGTACCGTGGGACAAACTCACAAGGTGAGACCTCTTATCCTAGAAAAGTTTGTTGTTTGAAAATAAAAACTTTGGCTGACTCGTCACATCATAATTTTTAGGATGATGAGTCTTATTGAATATTTCATATATAATTTTTATCCCTAAGGCCATAACATTTAATGCGGGCAACAATTGGTACATTGTTATTATTGTTAAAATTATTAGGATAGTGAGTTTATATAATAAATGCGGCCTTGTTTGGCCAAATCTCGAACAATCGATAGTCTTTGCAACCTTCTCTCATGTTACGAATGGGACTATGAAAGTTTGTGGTAGACTGGGATGGAGGAGACATAAATAAACTTATAATTTACTGTTTATAAATATATTGATATTGGCTCAGGTCAATGTCCTTGCAGCAGAGGTCCATTGCATTTTCCTGCGTTCTGCAAAACAACGTTTTGATTGAAAGTGAAAGTTAGTAATTGTTTGTGAACAATTATTTAATTTGAATCCTGAATACCAATTTCCTCCGAAATTACATCAGGACTTGCAATATCGTTGTAATCTGCATATTGCTTATCATCTGATTTGACATGTGTCCTTTCCTCTGACTGGTCAGTCGTTTGATTGATTATGTATATTTCATTCACTTACATTGGTTAAAAATATATTACGTCTTTATGTTTCTTGGTTACGTCAGAGAAAGATATTGTGTTTCATAAGTGTTCACATTTCAGTTTAAAAATACTATCTTACTGTGACGTGAGGGCATTCGTAATAACCACAAAAATCACCTTTTGCAAATGCAGTGAGATATCATTTGAAAATGTTTGTTTTTTATTAAATAACAATTGATTTCAAGGTGACAATCAAGGCGAAACCGAACGTAGTTTAGTATATATGACGCATGTATGGGAGGCGGAAATAGCAGAAAGTGTATCTTCTAGCTCCAAAGTCATCAAAAATCATTCTTATAGAATAAAAAAAGCAGTTGACCATTAACCTTTCTATCTTACTTGTGTTTACCAAATATTGCTCTGACAAGTCATAATTGAGCAATTGCACACGTCATCATTGCTTTAAATGTACTGGTATAGTATGTCAAGGCGGCTCAACTAACACATATGATTAGCAGGATAATTTGACGTCCACAAGGGAAAACCAGTTGCATTGTGGTCCACTGTTACCGAATACAGTGTAAATTTACAGGTGCTCTTTCACCTGACTGGTAGTTTATTTAATTATTTTTGAGTTTTATAGCATGTCTGAGGACTTAATTGTTTAATACTGAAGTATCTCATAGAGCATATAAACAAGTGCTTCTTTGAGGATTTCCGGTATGGAGTTTGACCCCCAAAGATGTGCACCCACTTATGTTAGGCTGACGTGAGGTGTTATGCTACATATTGTTTCGGGTTACGTGGTGTACTCGCAATCAACCAGGAAGGACAATTATGGTGTATGAGAGATACCGCTTACTTGTCAACAAAACGTGCGTATTATCAACCTTTTAAATACATATGCTATTAATATGCGCTAGTAAGCAAAAATGGTGATTGAAGTAGGCTTGAGTAAAATTTGAATACATATTGTAGTCATTGTTGCCTCCGCCAAGGAGGTTATGTTTTCACCCCTGTTTGTCTGTCTGTTTGTCTGTCATCAGTATAACTGAAAAGGTTACGGACCGATTTTGATGAAATTTTTAGTGGGCCAAGGAGGAGATGTTTAGTATTTGGTGGTAACGGATCAATAATCAATCAATGATCAATAATCAAAAACCAATCATCAACATAACTCAAAAAGTTGTGGGTAGATTTTGGTGAAATTTTCAGGGTAGATCAGAAATGGGTTAACTTAGAATGATAAGTTTTTGGTGGTGATCCAGATCAATAATCAATCAATAATCAATAATACTCAAAATTTGCTGCCTATATTGATTTATAACCTTATTATGCAGTCGTCAAAACATGAGGCAGATTAGATATCGTTCCTCATCATAGTGATTTTAGATATGCAATCTCATTGTTTAACGTTTGAAAACCAGCCAATCTCTATTCTGCAACATTACATTGGTTTTGTGTGTCGGCTCACTAATCTAAAATAAAGGTTTGCCATTCTGCACATTTTGTGTATCAAATTATAATGTCTGATATCAACCTCAATAATGGGATTTCTATTAGAGGCAACCGGTACCTTCCAATCCAAAGAGTCGCCTTCGATACAATTTGGGGCTCCATGCGTTATAAATATATTCCTTTTAGCGGTTTACCCTTTCCAGGTTTGTTGGTGTAAAATGCTTATCTTAATATAAGCACAATAAAAGTAACCACAACCCCTATTTTATAGTTTTATTTACAGGTACCACTCCGCGCCCTCTGGCCAAGCATTTGTTATCGATTTTGCTGCTTTGTGAATCGGTATGATATGAGAGAATGGTCGGTTTTTGATATAGCTCTGTAAATCAGTAGATAATTGAAAGTTATCGTGAAAGTTATCATGGTACTTTTTTATTAGAAGGTTTAAGCCCCTAATTACAATGTTTCAATTAAAATAAAAAGCAAGCCTCTCACGAAAGTTTCCTGGCACCGGTTTAAATAAAATATGGTTTAAATCGGCGTTGATAGCTATTCAGGCGAGGGGAGATCTTAATTTGAAATCGATATGACAATGTTTATTTCTAAATTATCTAAGTAGATTAGGAAATATATCCTACGGTATCAAACCTCTGAAGCAATCAACATATGTAATCAACGAAAATCGTTCGTCAAAGATTAATCTAAAACAAAGAATGAAACTTTGACATACACGATGTTAAATGTATTGCTCAACATTTTATCCAATAGGTATTCGTTGACCTCATTGATACGACAAAAACGATAAGGGTGTTTACATATGAGTTCTCTATTGTGCAAGGATTAGATAATATACCTACGGGTCAATGAAATCTAAATACATTGGGGAGTAAGCAGGTTGTTTATGATCATATTTAAACTGCATTAAAGGCTTCAAAAAAAAAAGTCATGTGTTTTCTGTACCCCTTTAAAGATATTTGGGATTTTTATATAAGGCTGCGTACCAGATATTGTTATTTCTTTTCGAATGTAGGGAACATTTTAAGTGTGAAGTCTTTACATATTGAGATATCCCCTCAGAAAAAAAAAAAAAAAACAGCCAAGTGGTAATATAAAGGACACAAAAAGATATATTGCACGAAAGGTGTTTTGGAAATTGATAGAATGAACACAGGTCATAACGAATGATACAGATTCGTTTGGAATTGTATTTTTAATAGAGATGGTAGGAAACACAATACAAGTGCAGTGACGAGTCAAAGAATGAGAATATATTTCTAATGACGCAAATATTCCGACTACATCGAATACATTTTTATAAGTATTTCCATTGGCACTCGCATCTCTATTATTGTTTTTTCAAATATTTTACCCCATTCACGTCCTTTATGTATTTAATGTCCCTCATATCAGAGTAATTGATCTGTGTCATCTTGTACTGATCAATATAAAAATAAAGATCGGTGGGCGGTATTGATCATAGTGTTTTTGTAGTTATTGGATTACTGCATTGTCTATTGTGAAAAACAAAAAGAGAATATTCATATTTTCTGTTAAGTAAAGCAGATAATAAAAGAATACGAGAACATTGTTAATGACTATCACGGGCACATGTATTTTGCATAATTTGTAAATGTATGCATTTTTTATTTCAGAACCCTTTTTAACTTTGGAATAATGTAAATATGAGAGACAAAAAAGGTATGCTCCCACTAGTATTTAATCTTTACTATTGGAAATGTATATTAAATTTGAGCTAAAGAATTGTTAATTTGAGGGAGAATGCATACAGGAATATATGTCCTGTTTTAGAAAACATTGAAAGAAGTGAATCAAATCAGTAGTTTTTCTTTTAGATTGTTTTTTAAATACATACATCTTTGCTTCATGTTATCAATCTGATGCACGTTCAAATTGGTTTAAAACAGCTAAATTTGTCAATTAAATTATGAAATCATACTGTAACATTCTCTAGATAATAAAGGAATTACCAGTCCTCAAAATCAAAACGCCACTTATGCGAATGTAGCGTACGGATCGTCACCGGATGTGAACCTTGCTCCAGCGGGGACAACAAATGTGTACGAGAGTTTAAGAATTTCTCAGCCAATCGAGAGAGGAACTACACCTCCCAAAGAGATAACTCAGCCAAAAAAGTCTCAGATCAACAGGCGGTTGCTCATTGCATTGGTGATAGTAGGAATAGTATGTGCCGCACTGGTTGCTATTGTTGCTTGGTCACTTGCCTTTAACCCTAAGGGAATAGGCCAAGAACAGGACCTGAATAATGAGAGTTTGGTTTCATCAAGGAATGGTTCAAATTGTAAGTAAAGGACAGATGATGCATGAGATTTTAAGTATTGTATGGAAATATTTGACAAAGAATTTTAAAAGTACCTACCGTCTTGGTATTTCGTTAACGTTCATTTTATCATTTACAGTATGTTTTATGCTATCAATTGTTGAAGTTGCCTTTAATTGTATTTTAAGTATTAAAATACGTTAAACAAGGAAAGGGGGAAGGGTTTTCCATTGTGAATGGTAAAAATATATATTCATTAATTTTTGCGAGAGGAAATCAACTTTTAATGTGCATGTGGCGTGGTAAACTGTTAATATCATGGGACTTGACTGTATAAATACATACACAACTGTATATGTATTTCAGTGACCGACCATTGCCGAAGCAAACCTTGCAGAAATGGTGGCACGTGCGAGAACTCAGTGGCCTCGTTCCGATGTTTTTGTTCCCTGGATTACCAAGGCACATATTGTGAAAACAGTAGGTAGTGAATATGTTAATTACATGCTCTCCTGTATTCTATCAGCTGCCCATCTGGATATACGGGTATTACTGTGTAACAAATAAGGACGACACGACTAAAGCAATTCGGTCTCGATCCGAATGCAGTATCGGTCATTATTTAAAGAAAGTTGAATCTGTGGAAAATGACTCATCTCCCTTCATAGCAGTCTGAGTGTTCCCATCCTGCACACGTTCGTTTTTTTTTTTTTTTTTTTTTTTTTTTTTTTTTTTTTTTACCGATTGACTGTAGACTTTTAAATATGAAAGTACCCAAAAAATATTTAAAGAGTTTTTACCCATCTGCAGTCTCTCATTTAACAACAAAAAATTCCTTTAATTCGTATATTTACAATTGCATAAATCTAATATCTCTCATCTCATGGCTGTTTGATGTGAAGGTAAGAAAAAATGCAGTAAATGGTCAAACGGTTTCATGCATGCATTCATGTGATAAAATAGAGGCAAGGGCATTAATTTGACGTTAAGAAGCACATGTAACTGTTGACTTTCCATAGAAATAATTACCCCCACACATAAATAATTAAGGAAATTCGTTAATGCTGATGGTCTTTAAAAACTACAACACTTGGTGACGAATTAAGCTTAAACGCATCCATTTTGCCTTAATTTATAGGGGTCGACCATTGCCTTAGCTCACCCTGCAAAAATGGTGCCTTCTGTGTGAATTTGGCAACTACGTTTCGATGCTCTTGTACTTCCGGTTTTCAAGGCGAAACATGCGAATACGGTAGGTACATGCACACTATATTGTTGCTTATAAAATAAGGCTTTATATGCTGTATTAAGATAATATATCAGCTACAGTTGACTTCATTGTTCAATAAAGTTTTGCTCTGAACCCGATCGTAAAACAATATGTTATAATCCATATCCCTGAAGGAAATTATGGATATAAGTTGACATATTCTGTAATTAAGATAAAATGATAAAATCAAATAATGAATAGGAAATATATGTGCGGTACCTTTCAGAGGCTCGTTTCAAGATTAGACAAGATAACGAAGGTGACTAAACTTGGTAGCTAGACGACCGGCTCATATGGCATTTAATTATGTCATTAATTGAAACAATGCTGTTGGGAGTGGTCATTGGCCAATCAGATATAATCAAATATTTATAAGTTATTCTCAACTAATTACTCAATGACATGATATAATGTTTCTTTTCAGATACAAATGAATGCCTGAATAGCCCATGCGCCCTTGGCGCCACCTGTCAAAACAGCTATGGTGGATTTCACTGCAGTTGTCCTCGTGGTTTTACCGGAACTTACTGCCAGCTCGGTAGGATATCTTATGAAAACAAAAGACAAAATGATGATATTTTTAAATCAATCGGCCTTTAGTTAGTACTGAAGTTTTTTTACTGAAGTTTTTTTCATTGTAACAAGACCGATGCAAACGTTGCATGAGTTTGTGCTTTACAATAGCCATTTAGAAACCTTCTTCTTAGAGTGAGAACAGCCATTTGTAACATCTAGTTGGCGTGCGAAATTACTAATATTTTTATTTAGTAATTTCTTGCACTATTTTCAGTTACAATAATATCTTTTAAACTTTAGGAATAAATGAATGCTCCAGTCATCCTTGTCAGAATAGTGGAACGTGTGTTGACATGGTGAATTCTTATCGCTGTTTGTGTTCTGCTGGCTACTACGGGACAAATTGCCAAGGTGAAAATGTAATGTTCTCCCTGTACCATTTTTGACTTCAAATAGGTTGTCCATAATATACATGCATATTATCACGTATCAGATCCCTTTACAATTAAATATAGTATGTGTGTATTTGGCAGCGGTCTCACTATGTTCGGTGAACTCAGATAGCGTATATATCTTTATCGGTCATACCATTAATGACATTGATGGGTTTCCAATGACATTAGATTGATCAACATTGTCAGTGCGTTGCCATTTTTGTTACAGTTAGAGACCATTGTCGCAACCAGCCCTGCCAAAATGGCGCCACGTGTAGGAGTCAAACTTCCACGTATTCTTGCAGCTGCCGTTCTGGGTATACCGGCAGGAATTGTGAATCAGGTTTGGGCAGTGTATTGGAATATATTTATTTATTTCATCCGTTTTGTCAGAGTGTGGATAAAATGATATAATGCTGACGTAAAAAAAATAGAAGTGGTTTATAAATGGTCACATGTTAGGCTATGCAAAATATGAGAACAATGATTCAATCATATCATGAAAAAATATGACCCTCTCTGACACACACGCGTGCGTGTGCTCTCAGGTTTTCGTGAGCGTGCATAAGTGGATCATTACTGATATACTATTTAGACATGTTTTGCTTGACTATTCTAGCTTTTGTGTCCCGTCACCTGTACAGTATTTTTGGAATAAATATCAGTGACAAATACGGTGGAAGAGTTGAAGTGTATCATAATGGAAGTTGGGGAAATGTTTGCGATGACGATTGGGATAATAGTGATGCTTAAGTTTCCATGCACTATTTTCTGTTACTATAATATCTTTTTAATTATAGGAATCGATGAATGCTCCAACCGTCCTTGTCAGAATGGTGGGGTGTGTGTTGACATGGTGAATTCTTATCGATGTTTGTGTTCTGCTGGATATTACGGGACAAATTGCCAAGGTGAGAATGTAACGTTCTCCCAGTACCATTTTTGACCTCAAATAGGTTGTCCTTTACCCCATATTTTACATGTATACCATTACGTATAAAACCTCTAACTGCGAATACATTTGAGCATAACTTATGTGTATTTGGCAGCGGTCTCACTAAGTTTGGTGAACTCAGGTTTGAAGAACGAAGCGTATCTTTATCGGTCATCCCCTTAATGACATTGATGCATTTCCAATGACACTAGATTTTCAGTGCATCATCATTTTGTTTCAGTAAGAGACCAATGTCGCAGCCAGCCCTGCCAAAATGGCGCCACGTGCATCAGGCGAACTTCCACGTATTCTTGCAACTGCCGTTCTGAATACACCGGCAGGAATTGTGAATCAGGTTCGGGCAGTGTCTAGGAATTAATTAATTGATCACATCCGTTTTGTCAGAATATGGTTAAAATGATATATGATGCTGACGCAAAAAGAATTGATATGGATTTCAAACGGTCATATGTTAGGCTATGCAAAATTTGATAACTATATTTCAATCATATGAAAAATATTACTCTCTCTGATACACACGCGTACGCGTGCACTCACGTTTGCGTAAACGTGCATAAGTGGATCATTACTGAAATACTCACTCTTTAAACATGTTTTGTTTGAATATTCCAGCTTTTGTGAACCGTCACCCGTACCGTCTTGTTGGAATAAATATCAATGGTAAATACAGTGGTAGAGTTGAAGTGTATCATAATGCAAGTTGGGGAACAGTTTGCGATGACGACTGGGATAATACAGATGCCAAGGTTTTCTGCAAGTCCTTAGGTCTTCCCTATTCCAGAGCACTTGGCCTACAAAGTGCGTATTTTGGGCGAGGTATAGGAGACATATGGTTGGACAATGTCGGTTGCACAGGATTAGAATCCAACATTACATCATGCAGTCACAATGGTTGGGGGAGACATAACTGTGGGCACGGTGAAGACGCTAGTGTTCTTTGCTATTGATGATGCGCATCTGGCAAAGAACTGTTCTAAATTGTATCAATCTCTTCAGCTATATAATGAAGCAAATATAGGGAGATACAAAAAATGCACCGTGTTCCTTTCAGATGAATAACATGAATAACGGCTGATTCTTTAAATTTCGTATTTATTTAAAAGGTGGTCATGTCAAACGAATAACTTAACTAAAGGTTTGAAGACCAGATTAACCTGTACATAAATTAAGTCGCAACTTATTTTCTTGTGTGAGTTTCTGTGACATTTTTTAAAATCCCAAAGTGTTTACACTAGTGAGAGATTGAATGTTCCCCAGTTAAGTGATTTCACATAAAAGGAAGGGAAAATGAATATAAAATTGAACTCATAAACCACCGATCATCAACAGAAGAACGAGTGCATTTGACCCAATAGGTTGACCACATGACTGGCCAGCCTACCAGGTATCTGATGTAGGAAAGATGAAGTCTCAATCCTACTTTACGGTTCAGTGACAGGTTCTCTCCTCTATGTCAAACGGCTGCTTTAACTTCTCTTCTAAAACACCGAGCTCTGTAGAAAATACCTAGTCGTCCCGTAACCAGCCAGTAGTCTTTAAACTCTTTCCTTTTTAGGCGTCTATCTCGGGTTCTGCTAGTCCACTTGTCGTTACTTTGTAATTGCCTAGAATGAGGAATACATGTAGAAATCAGTCACAACTTCTTGACAGCAAATTATTTTCACACTTTTCAAGTTACGCCATTTAAACATCTTTATACTTTATGTTTTTCAAATTGCATTATTATAAAAGTAGTTTGAACTTAAGGTTAGAATAAGAATACATATTTTTAATATGGCATACAAGTATATTTTAAACAGTGGAGATAACTGGCAATTGCATTGAATTATAAGTCAAGGAGGGGTATTAATTAATATATGATATCTACTTACTTCATTTTACTTGACTTAATTCCATTTCTCTTTGAAAAGTTCCTTATGATACAAATTTAGCAATGATTTGAATGTGAATAACAAATCCTTTTAATAAAATAGATTTTCAGTTACCACGCTTTTGTGTAGAATGTGTCTAAGTAGTTAAGAGAAATTGCAAAAAATTTCAGTAATAAACTCAATGTACCAACATTAATAAATACATGTATAGTATAAACTACTATGATGAGTATATTTATCAAATATGTTTAAAATTCTTTGATGTTGTTTTATTATGATACACTGAAAAGTGTCATTCAGGTCCTTAGACTCAATAACCAATCGAGGTGACAATTTTCGAGCGTAAATTAACATGTGTGACGTGACACAAGTGAGTCAATAAAAGTACAAAAGGTGGATAGTTTAGCCTCACGGTATTTCATGTTAATCTAATATCCACCCACAAAAACAACCCACCATCGCCCTTTCTATCCTGTATTGTTTTTTAATTTATTTCAATTCCTCAGAATTTCCCTGATAAGCCAGAATGAAAAACGGATATTGGAGCTATATTGCACCATTTGTTATTCGGATTGCTACAGTTGTATATAAAGGCGGTTCAACTAGCACAGGCGCTGGGCAAATATGTTGGTATTTATAACTAAAACTTAGATCCATTCAGTGGGCCACAGTGACTGAATACAGTGCAATCTTACAGTTATTCTTCTGGGACGGCAGAGTTTCCAATGATTTTGAAGTTTCATAGCACGTCTCAGGTCTAATTATTCTCAGGCAGTAGGCCTACTTTTATTAAGGAAGCCTCTTTATGACTTTCCGGTATGGGCTGTCTGCTACAAAAGATATGCGGCCAGTTAGTGATACTTCCGTGATTTAATATTCCTATATTTCATATCACGTGCTGCGCTCGTTTCATCAACCAGGAAGGAACGTTTGGTGGCTTTCAGTGTCAGAAGCACTGCTTTGTTGTCAACAATGCGTGCACGGCATACAGTTTGAAAAAGACAATTAAAAGATTGCTTTTTTATTAACGCACTGGTAAGTTTAAGTTTTTTCTGTATTTCGTAAAGGTGGTTGCCTCTTTTTCCGCTTTGTGCAACTAAATCCCTTAACAGTTTTGAAGTTTAAAACATTTTCACGAAATTGTCATTTAATTGTGCAATGTAAATGTTGGTAGCTATTTTGTTATTTCAAACGATCCAAAACTCTGTTCTGCAGCATTCGTCATTATATGTTTCAAGTATTGAATTGTCCAAAATAAAATAGGTTGCTGTTTTGCGCATCTTTGTAATAAATAGCGATATCTGATATTACCCTCAAAATCATCTATAAAAACTGAAGACTACACTTTAATTCGCAGTAGGCTCTTATAGTTATTCCATTAATGCAACCACTTACATGTAAGACGCGCGTGAGTTACAATATTAATGTATCCCATTTTTCATATGACGTGCTGTGCTCATTTCATCAACCAGGAAGGAGAATTAGTTTTAAAGTGAGAGATGAAACATGCAGTTAAACATTTGTTAAAAGGTCCAAAGGTTCAAAAGAGTTTAATGCGTCGTGCACCAAATTGATTTACGTATGCAACTATGCTAGTTGAATTTTTCTGCCCTTTCTTTTAGGCAGATTATGCCAGATATGTGAACGCTATTAATAAACACGATGGGTTCAAGTTATTTTTATCCATGACAAACAGTAAAAGCATGCCTTTTATTATTCCAGCACTGGTTTTAACTTGAGAAGAAAGGTTAAATGGCAGACAAAAATTGTATGCAACCTGGAACTTAGATTTAATATAGTAATGTGTACAGCATTTAAGCTATTGTAATAATATAATTGTAATAATAAAATGTTTGCCTTATGTGAAAACTATTTTGAAAAAAGGTGTATTGGGTTGTTAGTGCACAGGGTTTCATAGTGCGTGTAGAGCTGTTGTTCAAATGTAGAGTAGTTCTAATTTGCTTAACCCTCTCCTTACCTGCTGCAGCCGCTGGCTAGCCATTTTTCAGGCTGAGTACCTAAGTCCTCCCTGGCAGTACACCGGTGTAACGAAATTGAGGGTCCGTGTAACAGAGAGTCCGCAATCCGTGTAGTTATAATGGTTAGGGTTAGTCTGACCTAAGTGGGTCAAAATCTAGGGCGAGGCTGGCCTATACAAATAAATGGGAAGTGGACTCCTTGTTTTTGGATCTCTCTGTAACGTTACACCGGTACAGTAATCCTTCTGTGCCTTCTCGTGGCACACCACGGTAAATGAAAATGTGGAGGCCAAGATAGAATACACTAGAAGAAGCACGCTGAGACCTCTGTCCTTTCTCTGTTTCCGCAGATTAAGCCATGTGAATGTTATAAATAACACTCGGATGCAAGTACAAATAAGTAATCCTCGCATTTAATTGTACAAGCGTCAGCAAAAGTTTGGAGGAAAGTAAACATGGCATACAAAGAAGGTATGCATCCAAGAAAGAAGTTTAATTTTAAAAATTTGCTTTACATTCGATATATAGTAATTGAATTATGACTAAGAAAACATGCAGGAATGTCAGACCTGCTTGACTAATTTATTAGAAAATAGTCGTATCGGTTTTCTATTTTTATATTTTCAAGCATGTACATCCTTGAATGAAATCTGCATCGTTTTAAATATTCAAATCGCTGTATAATTGAATATGAAAAAAAAAATTGTAGGGATCACGGCAAGTGCCACCGGTCCAAATAAAAACACCGCGTATGAAAATGCAACATACAGCCCCGGAACGTCATCACAAGTGGAACTTACTCCAGCGGAGACACCAAATGATTACGAGAGCTTAATAATTCACCATCCCTTCGAAAATACCGTTGGTAACAATGAAAGGATTACACAGCCACCAAACATTAAAGTTCATAAGCGATTACTCACAGCATTGGTGTTAGTAGGGATAATGTGTGTTGCAATGGTGATTGCCCTTGTTTTGTCGCTCGTGTTTGCACGTGAGGGGTGTAGTGACCAACTTACTCAGCATGTAGAA